GAAACTTCTGTATTGCACAGGTGAAATTTTTTAGTTGTAGTGGTTTTGTATGAACACTCAGGCACAGTTGAATGTATGGTTGATATAAATTTTGCTAGCATCCTGTTAACTTCGTTCCAGACACTAGTGCATTTTGTTACTTGTTAATATGAATGCTGAGGTTGTTTGCATTTTTTTAAATAAATATTCCAGTTCATTTATTAGAAATCTGTTAGTGCATTGTATTCCCCTGGGCATTAAAGTTCCAACGACATGAAATGTGGTATGTGTTTTTTTAAAATAAAATCCCTATAATTCTAGTCATCAGAAAAAGCAATGTTAACACATGAAATTGTATTTACTAATTTTAGGGAACAATTACTATTTTGGCATTTCTTTTTTAAAAAATTCCTCCATCTCCCACATTTATCTACTCTAAAATATTCCCAAATAAAATTGAAACCATCCGTTTATTATGTTTTCTGTTTATGCAGTAAGTAAATAATTTCAGCCATAGAATTGAAATGTATTTGTTTAGGTTGCTACTTTATAAGTACATTGCCTCTACTTTGCCATTGCAGTGACAATTAGGTTTTGTGCTTTGTGAAATTCCTATTACAGTAAATAGTTTTAATCTGCGGAGATCTCCTTGGCAATCCTCTACTTGGGATAGTTTGAGGAGGTTAGGCTTAGGTGTCCAAATATGTATGTTCTAAATGCTTCAATTCAAAAATTGTATCGCATAGAGAGTTTTAAACTGATGCATCATGGAGAGAAGTCCAATAAGCAATGTTATGTATGTAAATTGTTACATTCATTAAAGAATGCAGCTTTTGCTAAAATAAGAGTGCATTTGTATTCTTCAAAACTAAAAACGTTTGGTGCCAGGAGGGATTTAGATGACCTTTTTTTACTATGGGGTATAAAATAGGATTTTCTGTTCTGCCTGAGGAGGAGTGCAGGGATCTGGGCAGTGATATTCATCTATAATTAGAATGGATGAGGCAGAAATGATTTCACTTTCATGTTGAGGAGAAATTTTAAATTATTTGCATTTAAAATTGCAAATATTAATTTTGCAGTGATTTATGACACCAGTTTTGTCTCTTAAACCCCAGATGGAAAAATCAGCCTAGCATTGGGTGGGGGGGTGGACTACATTACTATATTTACAATAAGTGTCTTATACATCTATTCAAGGCACCAATGTTGTTATTTTAACCCCAGTATAGAAAAGACCAAAACCTTCATCCCTTCTCCAGCTTAAAATGGGTGTTAGGTGTTACTGGTTGCCTTCTCCATTCTCATCCCCATTGAATCATAACTTGTATATTCTCAAGAGATTCCCAGGACTGTGCCAATATTTCAGATATGTATCCACTTCTTTCTTGAGATAGTCCATTCAGATTTTCTTTATTGATCATTACGATGCTTATGGGCAGGTATAATATTTTACCTAACTTCCACGTTCCATAGGGAATGAAGGCTCTGTGCCTCACCCAAACAAATTCCTCATGCCTGTTTTTCTCAGATTTGTCTTACTTTCCCATATCTAGTTCAAGCTCTCCAACCACTGGATAAAAACAATCTTTCATCAGTAACTAATTAGAACAACTTCAAATTGTTGAATGTTCTACAATTTGACTATTTTGATATTAGTTTTAGAGCTGGGTATTTCTTAGGAGAGGTGGACTATCTGACCTGTTTCTAATGTTATAACCCTACTTAAAAAATTAATTCCCCCACACATTCTAGAGACATATTCTTGTTGATCCAATCCATTCTTTAAAGGTGCATTGGCCTTCATAACAAATGGGCTGAATAAACAAAACTAAAGTCTAGGAGTCAAAGCATAAAACTAAGCCTTCATGAGAAAAGGCAACAGGACAAGGCAACAACAACAAAAAACTGGCGATGGTGTTTTATTTCCTTCCCGCAATGGTGTGAAGTAAAAAAAAATCAAAACACAAAGACCTATTTCTTTGACAGAAATAGAAAACATAGACTGAACTCTCTAGAAAAAGTTGTACAATTATATGGAGTGACTACAGAGATACAAAGGAATTTTTGATTCCATCATGTACAATTCTCAAGGACCACCTGGACAATTTTCTTGTTGGCAAGGCTTTTCAGAAGTAGTTTTCATTGTCTCCTTCCTAGGACTGAGAGAAAGTCACTGGCCCAAAGCCGCCCAGTGCTCGGCTACGAAACTATGTGATCGAGCTTGATAAATCAATACTTACAGCTTGAAAATTAATGAGTAGTTACGATCGGCCTCTCCTTTCCCCTTCCCTCCTTCAGCCTTGCCCCACAGAAACATCTCCTATCCCAGTGATGGCTAACCTTTTTGCTGTTGTGTGCCAAAAGCAGGGGGAGCACAGGGGTCGCACGCATGCGTGCCCACACCCATAATTTAATACATCCGCTCCCCCATGCATGCGCAACCCCCACCCCGGGCTCCCTCCACTTTTGGCACGCGATGGCACGGTGGGCACGCTAAGCCTGTTTTTTGCCCTCCCCAGGGTCCAGAGGCTTTCTTGAAGCTTAGGGAGGGCAAAAACAGCCTCCCCCCACCGGAGGTCCTCCGGAGGCCGGAAATGGCCCTTTTGCTGACTTCCAGTGGGACTGGAAGGCCCAAAAATCAGCTGTGCATGCTGGAACTGAGCTAGGGCACCACTCATGTGCCCACCGATATGGCTCTGTGTGCCACAGGTGGCACGTGTGCCACAGGTTCACCATCACAGTCCTATCCTATCCCCTTCTCTCCCTCAGGCTTGCCTCATAGAAGCCTCCCGTATCCTATCCCCTGCTTGCTGCTGTGAAAGTAAAACTGAAACTGAAACTCCTCTCCTCTGTTTGTGTTTTGCATTTGGAACAGATTTCTTTTCAGGTGGGGAGGGGGAGTAGAACTCCTTAGCATCAGAGTGTGTTAATAATAATATAGGAAATATTAATGGTCTGATGGTCATTTTGAAAAATCCTTTGTTAGTGAGCACCTAGAAGCCAAAAAGAACATATGTGGCAAATTTCAAGTTTGTAGGCTTTACGGTTCTGGAGATTTTGTGATGATGCATGAGTGGTATTTTACTTTTATATATATAGATAAAATACATATGAAAATACAGTGAAATTGGACTTTAAAGAGTGTACTATAGTGATCCCCAATCTTTGTGGCTTGGTGGTCCGGCTGGGGGAAAGGGGAACCAGGTCACACAAAACAGATCCTTGGGTAGCATCCAAGTCCTTAAATAACCTCAACACAGAAGGTTCATCTAGCAAGAGAACATCTGGAATCTGCAGGACTCCATTGAAATTGGCACAAACTTGAGCCTAACAGCTGTACTGGCATACTTTCCCCTTGCTATTGTCTAAAACAAAAACATAGCTAGGAATTGAGGCATATCTGCTCACTATATATTATCATAAAAATATTATAAAAATTGTAGAATATAAAATGGGATGCAAAGAGGACAGTTGAAAGCAGCATGGAGCATATAGGCTGCCTCCCTCCTCAGCCTTTTAAGGAATAAAAGTTCTTTCACTTTTATTGCAATTTTATTATACTATGGAGTCTGTGGAGAGCCGTGGGTAAAATCTAACAAATAAAGAATATATGCGTTTTCCAAGAAAGACGCCAGAACGTGCATCGCATTGAAACAATATTGTAGTTCTGCAGCGAAGTAACTCAAAGCTTTCAAGGAGAGATATTTGTTTTATTCCATTTGAAGACGATTTAAAATTGTTTTAATTCAGCGGCACTGATCGTGCAATCAAGGGGCAGATTGAGTAGTTACTAACGATGGTGCGTCGATCAAGTGCAACAGGGACAGAGAGCTGTAATCCACAGGCATCTGACCTACCATAACGTTCAAATCTCGCAAATCTCAGCAATGAAGGTAAGGGGACCGCCGATGTTAAGGTTAAAAACAGGATTCACTCTCTCCAGCCCGAACACCCCCACTCCTTCGCAGATCGGCCAAATTTTCAGACAGCCTGAGGAAGGCGGTACTCAACTTGTCCTTTCATCACGGCTCCTTTCAGCAGAAGTATTTAAAATATCCAGAAGCTTCATTAAAGCGACTTGCAGCAGAAGTATTTAAAGTATCTAGAAACTTCAGAATCTTGTCTTTCTGGTAAAAACTTCCACTTCGGTGGGAACATTCCGTTAATCGGCAACCGCAGACTTCCATTTTCCAAAGTAATTCATTCGTCTGTAGCGGCAAAGCCAAGGAAATGTCAATCACGGGCGGCTTCTTTGGCAGCGATGTCTGTCTGTGTCTGTGTCTGTGTCTCTAAGAAGACACTCTTGTTTTTGGAAACAATAGCTTGTACGCCTGGACTATTTGTGGTTCGAGGTCTGGAAAATGAAGACTTGAGATTCTGCTTCCTTTCGAACTGTATACTCTGCCCTTTCCTTGGTCGATCATGTGAACGTAATTTGAACTATCTGTCTATCTGTGTCTGTCTTTCCGTCCACCCGTCATCCATCCATCTATCTATCTATCTATCTATCTATCTATCTATCTATCTATCTATCTATCTATCTATCTATCTATCTATCTATCTATCCATCTATCCATCTATCCATCTATCCATCTATCCATCTATCCATCTATCCATCTATCTATCTATCTATCTCTACCTACCTACCTACCTACCTCGATTTTTTTATGCCGCCCGTCTCCCCTACAAGACTATTTTGTTTTGGGACTGGAGTTCTGAAGGGGACGTCGTCCCCACCCCGGCACCTCCGCTTCTCCTTGCGTGAAACGGCTCCAGTAAAAGGGTCGCTAAAGCGGGCAAGCGCAAACCCTCCTCCCGCTCGGAAGCCGGATGCTATTGGCCCCGCCCCCACCGCTTGCTGGGAACTTTTGAAATAGAAGGCGGCGCGCTTGCGAATTCCAGCCGCGTTCGAACTTGGAAGGGTGGGCGGTGGTCCATTCTCTCGCCACTTCCTGATGAGGTTCTCTGGGCAAGCCTGTCTTAGTCGCCCCTGGAGCGACTTCCTGGACTTGCTGCCTGGATCTCTCTCTCTCGCTCTCCCGCCTCACTGGGAATCCGAGGTTTCTCCCAGCACCAACTCCACCACCCTTTTTTCTCCTCACCATTGGCCATTTTATCCCGTTGCTTTGAGGGTCGTAAACAGAGCTTTCTCGTTTCCCATCTTTCTCTTATTTCTTGGAAATCTCGCTGTTTTAAGCTGAACCAAGCACTTCTGGTAACTGGAAGAAAGCGAGTTGATGGGTGGGTTTTTGGGGGGCGGGGGATGAGCCTAGGAGTCCTTCTTCTTTTTGATGAGGGGTAAATCCTCTTGATGCAGCTAATAGGAAACTGTTCACAGTGCAGGGTATGTGTCAGGACGAAGTTTCGGGAGAAAACTAATTATTGATCATTATAATTGAATATAGCTATAAGTTATAGCTATATAGATATAGAGCCCTATGTAGACTTACAGATATAAGACTTCTCCATTGGCTCTTGTGAACCAAATATTTCAGTTTGATTGAGCCAATCTATTTTTTCGCCACGATAACAACCTTGTGGTAGTAGGCTAGGTTAGGCTGAAAAGAGGGTAAACAGCCCGAAGTCACCCAGTGAAGGTCTATAGTTGAAGGTGGAATAGAATCTGTATCTCTCTCGATTAGTACACTTTAATCACTGTATTACACTTTTACTTTCTTCCAAGTTTTATTCATTCTGCTTGTATAGAGCTGACATCAACTTGATAGCACATAATCGATGCAATACAGTTTCAGTGGTCTGCAATAATAATAAGGTTTTATGATTATTATTTCATGGCTACAGTCTCGTATCTCTGTGAATTTGGAACCTAGGAAGGTAAACTTACTACCGTATTTTCTTCTCTACCTAGTGATATTGGCATTGCCTCTGTCATGATCATATTTCTTCTTTCACTACAGCTGTATTTTCTGTATTAAGAATTAAAATTGATGCATTCGTGCTACTTCCCATGATTGTTTGATGGGGTTTTAATATTGTAGTATTTTCATTATAGTCTGGCAAATTATTTTTATTTCTTTTGTTTGTGCTCGGTGCCCCAATGATCAATTATTCTGATTGATCTTGGATAATAATGTCTTTTGGCATTTTGTTAAATGCTTTAAATATTGTAAAATTCTTTATTTTTCAATCCAAAAACTGTTTTAAAGATCTAAGATTTTGAGGCTCAAAGGTTAAAGATCTAAGGTTTTGAGATTAATTGATGGAAAAAATAGGATACTGACTATTTTGCATTTGATCAGATTCTTATAACTCTTTCTCATAAACTGCACAGAATTACCATGAGATGAACTCCATTTAAGAGTTCGTCAAAGTCTTATTAAAATAAATGTGTGGCACTTCCACTTTATTAGGGAAATTTATGTTTTGTTTTTAATTTCAGATAAATGCTTTACTAGTTAATGACTGCATTCTTGCGTACCAGAAATCTGCTTTAGCCAAGACTCATTCTGTTTTGGCTGATCATCAGGCTTGAGCATGGATGCTAATCAAACAATTGCCAGTGCTATTAAAAAGCCGAAAAAAAGAGGTGTCAAAAATAAAAAGAAAAGGTGAATTTGAAGTTATAATTCTTACATGAAAACATGAAAACATATTTACATTATGTTTTTGCTTTTTCCTCTTGGGTTTATCTGTTCTGTCCCCATCTCACACATGTACACCAGCAGTCGACCAAGAGTTAAAATAAACCAACAGACAAGAATTTCCTTTGATAACAGAATTGGCAGCAACCCAGTGGCTGCTTGCCAATAGTTTTTACTTACAAAGGGAGGTTTATCTCCTCCGACCAAAAACATCAAAGTCCACAAAAGCCAAAGAATAGTCAAGTCCAGTCCAAAAAAATCAGCCAAGCAGAGCATATAATAGAAATACAGAATGACTTGCTAGCTTTCAGTTTTGTCTGTCACAAAGCCTGAATAGCCACCACACACCGTTTTATCCCCTGTGGGGTGTGGTCCAGTGACTCAGCTTAATCTCTGGCACGCCTCCTTCTCTGCTGTGTGTGCTTGTCTTTCCGACACTGTCGGGGATCCAGCCAAGACTTATCTCCGTCGCTGTCTAACTGCCGCTGCTCGGAAATGCCTGGCTCCTGGCCTATCTCTTCTCCTGCGGAAGACACCTGAGGCATTGCCAGAGAGGAGGGGTCCTGGAGAGGGAGGCCTTGCCAACTCCTCTCCTTCACTTTCGGAGTCTTCTCCCTCCGATAAGACGGGCTCAGGGGTCAGAGTCACAACACTATCTTCATTTTATGTTTGAATAGTTCATAGATATGAACGCTTAGTTATTGGCTTTTCCTTTTTCTAAAAATTCTTTCAGTAAATTATATTTTTCTTGCAATATCCAACCAGAGGTGAAGCAGCTCTGCTGTTTTTGCTTTTAATTTAAAAAATGAGTGAAATCTGATTCTCAATATTCATCAGTAAATTTATTTTTAGGACACACTCAGAAATACTTCATTTCTCATTGTTTTGTATTCCAAAATTTTGTTTTGTTTGAATAAATTGTCATTGTGGTACATTTTGTGTGCTATCATAGTAATAAGGGGTGTTGTAATTTCATTTTAAAAAATATTCTACTTAGTTGACCAAAAATGAAGATAATAACAATCCCTTATTTAATTCAAATCTTTATTTTTGTGAAGATTAACTTTTCAAGATGAAGCCCAGCCTGAAGAGGATTTACTTTCAAAAGAGTCAAAACATTTGTAAGTATATATACTGTGGAATCTACCTGAAATACCATCTAATTTTATTGATGATGATGGTGATGGTGATGATGAGGATGAGGATATCCATTCAACCATATCCAACTCTTGGCGATTCTATGGACCAGGTCTCTCCACATCTTCTTGTGCAAGTCATCTTTGTACTCTGTACTTTGAGTTTTAGGATAACAAAAATATGTGGCTGTCCTTTTGAGCTTTAATATTAAGCATATTAAGATTCTAAGTTGATGAGTTTTCCCTTTTTAAGATTTTTTTGCGGATGAGGATAATTAGATACCATTCAGATATTTTTTTCTTCATATAAAATTTTATTTTATGTATATGTTTTGATATATTTCTAAAAACTGTTTCAGTGTGTTCCAACATTTGATTTTTTTCCCTCTGTTTCAGAGTCACAGCAAAGACTACTAGTTATCTTACCTTTGGCTTTGTTTTTATTAAAAGCTTACCTTATCATAGTCTAGATATAGTAGGAGGTAAGAGAAAAATAAATGTTACTTATTTAAATAAAAAGTCTGGAGAAATTGTTGAAATTTAAAGAGTTGTGTGGGAATGAGGTAGCCATGGTGTATGTGTAGACCAGTTTGGCTGGTTGGAACACATATGCGGAGCTTGGCTATGGAAGAAGAGTAAAGTAGGAAAAGCGGGTTCAGCTAGATGATCACTGAAAGGCCCTCTTCGTTCTCTCTTTGTTCATAATATTGTAGAACAGAAAGTGTGTAGCAATCCCTTTGAACTAACATTCCTGACAACTGAGGTAAATCTCTGATAATGGGGCCTCTCAGTTGGCAGGTGATAGGATGCTAGGAACGAAGTCAAATATGATAACATAGCAAGAGTTAAGTTTTGTTTCTGTCTTAAGTATTGCTTTCCTAGAATTCATGTGATTTACTGTAATATGGTAGGATGTGAAAGTTATGTCCAGATATGGAGAAAATCCTTCGTATCACGAATGTAATATGAGAATGTATAGCTGTAATCATGTCTTTTGATACACCCTATACCCTTGTATAATAAAAGAGAGGTCTGGAGTCAGCTCGAGGCTCTCTCATCCCGAGAAACACTTGTGCCTGTGTTTTCTCTAATCTGGACCTCTCATGGGGAGCCCGCCAGATGATCGCAACAACGTTGTTTGTGTATATTTGAGCATTAGAGAGAGCAGGACCTAATGTTAGCAAGGATTAATGAAACAAACTTTATACCCATAGACATACAGTAGGCCAATCTCAACCTTTAGTGTACTATATCCTACTACGAGAATAGTCAAAAAACATGTGCACCGTATGTAAGTGCCTAGAAAGAAAGAGAAAAGGAAATTATTTCAGTTAAGCAATCTCCCAGTCAAAAAGCGTCTGGAGTGATAAGCAAAAAACAGAGTAAACCCTTAATCCTTTATCTTTATCCCATTGTCCACTTATGTTTGGAAGACCTAAGGTATTGAGTCAGTGGCCTTGACTGAAATCTGTAACAGAAACACGGTTGCCTTCACTTAGTCTTTGCTTTTGAAAAAATGGAGGAATTCCATGGAAGTTTTGAATTAACAAAGAGGCCATATTAATTGGTTTCTTTTTGTCCATGCAGATCGCTACTCCCAATTTGCTTTTCAGAATAGGAGGATCCATCAAACAGCATCAAGAAGTTACACTAAAGACTGAGAGTCTCTATGGAGACTCTCAGTCATCCAGCTCATGGTTGTCCCAAAGGTGGTTTTTTCCCAAAAGCAACTGGACTTTCTTTGATTTTGCCTTGAAGACTGAAGAAGTGGCCTCAATGACTCTCAGAAAGTTAATGATCATCCTTCGGAGTGCTAATGACTAGATAACTGCAAGGCATATAAATCCTTCCATTCCCCACCATTCAGTCAGACCTGAAGAAACTTCTTGAATGAGAAGTGAAACATCTTCAAGGAAAAAAACAAAATCCAGTTGCCTTTTGAAAAAGCATCTTTGAAGCAGGAATAGTACCATGTTTTCCCAAAAATAAGATTGTCTTATATTTTTTTTGAACCCTGAAATAAGCGCTTGGCCTTATTGCCATGCACTCAAAAGCCCGATTGGGTTAATTATCAGGAGATGTCTTATTTTGGGGGAAACAGGGTAGTAATTTGACAACATTTGCTTCTTATCTTTTTTTTTCTTTCTTTCTTTCTTTTTTTTTACAGAGGAACATCTCTTGAGAAGAGCTTAGGCATAAAACTCAATAGTGTTCATATTTATTGCCCTCTCTGTTCTTTGAATCTTACTTTGCTGTTTACTATAAAACAAAGCAAGATTATTTTCTTGATAGTTGTGATCTAAAAACATTCCTTTTTACAATCCCGTGTAGCAACCTATAACAACAGGAGTAAAAAACTCGTGCTGATAGACGGAAGAGGATTTTTCAGTCTGGATTTGCTACCTTCCACCTGTACTGGTGAGGTGAATCAAAAGATGGTCTTCCATTTCATTTTATATATTCTGTTTGTAGAGATGTATCTATTATAAGAATCCACAACTCCTTTATAAGATTTATTCTAGTATTATACTTCAATATTAACTCTTTTTTGCTTCATTTCTCTGCTGAGGTTTTAATGCTTTCCAATAGTTTTATAATAGTATGATTGCTTTTTACTGATTTAAATCCTTTTAGAAAATAATTTTCTGCCCATTATTCCAGAATTATTGGAAATAATGAATTTTAAATTTTAATTTTCATTAAAATTTTGAGTCAAAAATAAGGTAGCATTCATGCAAATAAATTGTATTTATGGATTAAGTAGGCATATGTGTTTCTATGGATTTGTATGATCTTACTAGGAAGATTGGACTGTAGGCACTAGGATATATACTGCAACATGTTGATGGCATATATGTTACTCCTTTTTTTCTCTGCTTGTCTTCTTGTTAAATGGAGTAATTTATTTAACAGCCTGCTAAAAAGGTAGTTGCATTTCTATGCTTACTATCCAATAGTTTTCCCTTTTGCTGTAGCCAACTTAGAAACACAATTATTAGTGTCTTCATAGATAATTAGTTAATTATTTTTAAGAAAAGAGTATGGTATATTTATTTAAGAGTGAATTTGGTTATCAAGTTTAATCATAATGTTTATTTTAACATTGTAGCTAAAAGAGAGATGTATTTTCCAAAGTATCAATTTAATTTGGCAAGAATCATCACTTACTCTGAAAAATACAATGTTTACTTTGTTCTCCAAAAAGACTTTGCAATAAAGGTAAGATAATATATTTCCTGATAATATATCCCTATCAAAAGGTCAAGAATATTTTTAAAGTGGACATTTCTGGAATATTTGAAAGATGGGAGAAAGAATTGGCACTTCTAATAAAGCTACAGCAATGACTTCAGGTCTTTAAATATATTAAAATGGTATCTACAGATTTGAGATTAGAATTGATTCATTCAAAAGGTATTTAGGATGTGATAAAGTCATCCTAACTCCAACCTCAGATGATAATGTTGTTACTACAATAAACATTAAGGCATTATAAATACGTTATTGAAAAGTAGAGAGTTTCTGAGAACAAAAAATGGTTGCTATGCATGGATATGCTAAAACAAAAGCATTACTATTAATCTTCTCATCGTTCCCATCACCCATCTCCTCCCACTTATGACTGTATGACTATAACCTTGTTGCTGGTATCCTTAAGATTTATATTGACTGTTTCCCTATCACTATCATTAAGTGTTGTACCTTATGATTCTTGATGAATGTATCTTTTCTTTTATGTACACCGAGAGAGTATGCACCAAGACAAATTCCTTGTGTGTCCAATCACACTTTGCCAATAAAGAATTCTATTCTGTTCTGTCCTGTCCTGTCCTGTCCTGTCCTGTCCTGTCCTGTCCTATCCTATCCTATCCTATCCTATCCTATCCTACCCTACCCTACCCTACCCTACCCTACCCTACCCTATCCTATCCTATCAAGTTGAGAGATACAGTTGTTACAATTTACTATTGTAGATTTACAATTTACTATTAGAATTTACCTACTCGTTGCATCAAAAAAGGCTAGAATGGCATTTTAGCGGGAACAGTTTATTCTTCAAAGGTTTGCCTTTTGGCATTGCATAGAATGCCTGGGAAATGTGTGAAATATTAAGCATTTCATACTTTGATATCCCATTTTTGGCATTCTATAAATTTCCTAGGTATTCTATAAAATGCCTAATTTCACTTATTGACAGTAACATGTGCATGTCTTTTGTAGATGGGATTTTCTTTGCAGTTTTGGCTGTTTTAAACAACGAGTTTGCTTCCTTACTTGTTTGCTTGCTTACATGCTGATTTGGTATTTTTTAAAAAAAATATATCCTGTCCTTTACAGAATTCTAGAATTCCAGCAAATACATTAGAACATTATTGCTATAAACTGCAAATAAAACAACAGCTAAGATCAATAATGCTTAAAAAGCAGATATTGATAAAAAGTAAACAGCAAAAAGTTTATATGCTAAGACCACCCTAAAAAGGAAGGTCTTCAGCTTCTGAAAGGTTATCAGGTATATAGTTCTTGGTTTGTTGCTTGTTTTGTATTCCACTAAATTTTTGATACATACATTTGATATCAGTAATTGTTTCTTAAGGTTTACAACAAGAACTATGCTGAAATTTGCTCTATAGATAATCCAGGTTTAGGACGAATGACATTTATATCATTTAACCCAGTGAAAGAGGAACTTATCAGTGGAGGAATCACAGGAGTAAAGGTGATGGTTTATTTCCTCCTTATTGTTGATAGGTTGGCTTGCTGTTGAAATGATCAGTAATATGAGAAATTGTATATTTGGGATGGGATCTGTGTAAAACCAGGAGATACTATATCTTGTTATTTAAAGCCCCACATATTTATATGTTATTCCTGATATCTCTGTATGATCAGAAATCTCTTAGGAAGTTTCTGTTGATAATTGGCACTTCTTTCAAGTACTGTTGATTGCAGAAGATTTATTCAAAAATGGACAACCTGGTCCATAAAAATATAATTTCTCTCTCTCTTGGCTTATTGGATTTATTGGCTTCGTGAAAGGAGTAAGGCTCATGTTTACCCTCCCATCAAAATGTATGTAATTATATGAATATATTGTCCAAGCCATTATATTGAGATTAGTTTATCTTTCTGAATTGGTTAACAAAGTGTATCATATGCTCACCACAGAAAAACAGGTATGGGTGAAATGTAATGAAAGTAGCTGCTGTTGCCATGAATTCAATATTTTTTCCACAGATCTCAGGGATCCTTGGTGCTGTCTGAGCTTGGTTATTTTCTTGCAAGCGTTTCTTTACCCAGACTAGGTAACATCCTCAGTGCTAGCACTGAGAATCAGAGCACCAGAGACCCCTCATTTCAACCTTGATCTACAATATTCTCCTTCATTGGTATTACAGATCTCAATAATAAGTTCTTTTAAAAACCATAAATGATCTGTAACTTCCCTATAATCCCATTATGACCCAGCACTGTGTTACACTATTTTTTCTTAAATTTCTGGATATCCACTTCAAATATCAAATCATAGTTGGTTTATTTTTATGTATATTTATGTAAGCTTATGCATATATTTATATTTCTTTCTGTCTTTTAGACTTGGAAGTTTAAAGAAAAGAAGCTCCCACTTGACTTTAATCCTATTCCAATGTATAACTACAGTCTTTTCCTTAGGTACATTATTTCTCTGAGCTTTGAACGACATATTACGTAGCTATGAGCTAAATCTCTGTATATGTGTTTTATTATATTTTGTCACATGTAACTTAAATATATGGGAATGCAGTATAATGCTGAGAAAGCTATGTCTAACCATAAGAATAGGAGACGAAATTAAATTCCTCTGGTCATGTTATATTCGCTAAGTGTGCAAAACATTTTGAACTTAGAACCACCATTTTGAGTATTCTGACTTTCAAAACAAATCCCAGGTTTTTCTCAGAGTCTTGTTCTGATCTTGCAGTTTGAATGTTGAGTACTATAAAGTCACTACAAAGCGGAGCCATTTCCAAGCTTGATATTAGCTATTTCATGTATTCTGTTCCAGTGGTGAAATCTAAAATTTGTTACTACCGGTTCTGTGGGCGTGGCTTGGTGGGAGGGTAATGTGACTGGGTGGGCGTGGCCACTTTTAAAAAACTTTTAAAACCATTTTTTACATGTAAAACCATCTAAAAAATGCTTTCAAAAGGCTCTGACAATCCCAGCTGAGTTGCCTGATCGTCAGAAGGTTCTTAAAAAGCCCTCTGATGATCAGGCAACTCAGCTGGGATCGTCAGAGCTTGGATCATCAGAGCCATTTAAAAGAAAAAAACTTTTTTTCTTTTAAATGGCTCTGACGATCCCAGCTGAGTTGCCTTATCGGCAGGCAACTCAGCTGGGATGTCAGAACTTGGATCGTCAGAGCTTGGCTCGTCAGAGGCATTTAAAAGAAAAAAAGCGTCTGATGATCGCATGGCTCAGCTGGGCGTGGGGGGTGGGGACAGGGATTTTTGCTACCGGTTCTCCGAACTGCCCGCCGCCATCGCTACCTACTTGCCCGGAGCCAGTCCGAACCGGGAGCATTTCACCCCTGTTCTGTTCTCTATGCAACACGTATACTTTTCAGAACATTTGTTTCATGCTTAGGACAAAAAACACTTGAGCTGTTTCAGATTTTGTTCTGTCAGAACACAATCAACTCAGCTCAGTTCTCACCAAATATTAGTGAGAAATTATTGGTATTGTTTTCTCATAAAACACTGTTTATAGGTTTGTAGAAAAATATGCTTTTTAAAAAATAATAACTTTTTTGTCATTGTACGTATATACACAGTGTACCCATACAACAAAATTCACTTAACGCCCAAAGACCAGGTCCAACACACATAACAATCCCCAAACACTCCCCCCACCCACCACAAATTCCCCACCCCTAAACCATCCAAACATCCACACAACAGACCAAGTAATGCTGTCCAACAGCTCACTGATGGTGGCCCTTTAGTTCATTGCTGAGTGCAATTATTTTACTGGTTAAAATGCTGGGACTCTTTCCTATCTGATTGAAAGAGTTCTCTTTTTTTGTTGTTAAGAAAAACAGATTTAAAGAATGTTTTACGGCATTTTCATAATTTGATATTTTGCAAATATTTTGAATTGTAGTACAGCATATCCACACATGGGGAAGAAATGGTGTACAAACATGGATTTTGATATCACTATGCAAAGATATTACTGCTTTTCTGAGGGCCACTTCTTCTGCTATGATATCAATGGGAAAATGCTACTTGAGATACTCAATGCACACGAACGTTCTATTCTCTCTTGTGTCTACTCATCTAACCTTAACATTTTGCTTACTTCTTCAAAAGGCAATGAAAGTAAGTTGGCACCTCAGTTATTTTAATCCACTTCTAATGATATTAACAGAAAGATGTTCATTAATATTATGGAATTTACACTACTTAAAATCAGCAATATCATAAAAACAGAACTTGTATTTTAATGTCTTTAGTTACCTGTAATTTTTTTCAGAAAATTGTACAGGGTGACACTTCAAAAGATACTACTTTTTTATGCAATGAAGACTAGCAGATGTATAAAAATATATATGTAAGATTACCTTTAAAAGGATTTATATGCTTGGCATGGATTAGATTGAATTGATTTAATCTCAGCTGGAGCTAGTACCCAAATGTTTGAGCTTGCTTTCTCCAAAGAGAAATTTATTTGTTTGTTTATTTATTTATTTATTTATCCTTTTAACTGTCTGCTTCCCTCCCAAATTCCTTAATTCTCCTAACTATTCTATTAAACCCATGAAAGAAATTTGCAATTTTAAAAATCTGTTTTATTCTATAAATTCTAATGTGCAATTAATGCTTAAAAGGAATATATGTTACAGTTACCCCCTAAGAAGATGAGATTTCCTCCCATATATATTTTCCTGTAATTTGGAGATGGGGGGAAGGGTCATCTTACTTCCTGTGCTAAAAAGAGAAGAAGTTACTGAAAATAAAGAGCAAATTATGTACTTTTACTTGGAAAATTGTGGGTATTTTTTCAACATTAGTCTAAAGATTAACTCCTGCTTGGAAGAGGGAGCTGTCCTAATTATTATTAAGACTTTATTTAACATTTAAATAGGGTTCCTGTTTTTGTTTCTTCTATCCATTGATCTCTTCCTCTCACCTCAGCCCTAACCGGTTTTGTCCTGCCCCCCTGCTCCTTTTTGCCTTCCCTTCCCTGGACAGCTACTTCTTCCTCTCATCTCACCTGTATTGCTGCAGTTTCATTTCCACTTCCTTTTGGTAATTAATATATACAACAGGAAGGGAGAATGTAAGGAGGAGTATAAGGAGGGAGGAGACTATGCATATACCTGTGTATCTGTCTGTGAGAATAGTTTGAATATTAGAGAGAATGGTTGGTGTTGCAACCAAGTAGTTGTGTGTACAAGAATAATTCCTGCCATAGGCACAAGGAGTTCAATTTGAGGAGTCTGGCTTTTCGGGGAGGTTTCCACTGTGACTTGGAAAGGGGAAGGGTTACTATCAGAGTTCAGTTCTGCATTCAAGAGTATCATTCGTACAGGGTACTTAACACTGCTTAATAAGGTAGGAGGTAGGCCTTGGATTTTTACTTCGCAAAAAATTTCAAGGAATAGCTAAGGGACACTCCATTGAGACACTCCATTCCTGCACCTACTCTTTGTCATGGGTTCTTTTAGGTATATCTAATTAAGTGGGCTCAAAACACAAAAGAGCCAATGCAACATTGGTTTCTAGACCACACACGCACACAAGCATTCACAAGCTATTACAGCACACCACAATTCTAGTCTTCTCTACTGCTGCTACTCCAACTACTCCTACTTGTGAGTCTTATTATTCCTACTCCTTGTGCATACTGCTAGAGAAAATTATCTCTTTCTAGCTGTTTCAGGCTTGTTTACATCTACAAGGCTGTTTTACAGCACAGTTTTCATAGCCAATTTGTAACACCAGCTGGGGAGAGGGCTTAAAGCAGCATGGGTGCTATCCATTTCTCTCACACCTTTGTCAAAATCCAAAAATGTTGTTAACTACAGTATTAGGGCCATAGAAACCTCTGATATGTTTTTTAATGAAATATTACTTATTAGCTACAGTTTTAATTCCTCAGAATTGACAGATACAAAAAAATATGTATTTTAATATTGAATACAATATCTGTTTCAAGAGTGAATGCCAATTTATTGTATTCTATTAAATGAAGACCATATATTTTAAAAGTGATGCATAAAACAAAAGGGTCATTAGTCATCATTTTTCCCCCATTGGCTTCAATACCTGTTTGTTAACATCAAAGCACATACAGTACAGGCCGGGCTGTGCTTTTAAGATACTGAGAGAAACAAGTTGAACAATCTATAATGCAAACTAGCTGTCAGCCCTGCTCTTCTTGTTTCTTCTTCTCCTTTATGTTCATTAATTGTAAGCATGATTAACTGAAGGAATTTCTTAACATGGAGGGAAAAGCATGAGATTTCTGTTTGCTTGGATGCTGACAACTTGCAAAGACATATGGTGAAATGATCTAGACTAATATTTCCCACTTGGACAATTTCCATATATATTGATTTCAGTTCCTGGATTTTTCAGCAATTAGTAGGTTGACTGGTGACATCTGTGCATTGACATCCAAATACACAGAAGTTGGCCAGGTTAGAAATAGTGACCTAGTTAGAGGTGCCATGCAATGGGTTTGGCAGTATGGAATAAAATATTCCTTCATGTTTTTCAAGGAGAAAATGTCTTATAAGATAAGCTAGCACCTTTTGCATTCATTGATTGTCATTCAAGTATTTATATACGGAAGTTTATTTCTTTGTTCAATGCATATAGTTGCCAATCTCACATACGTGGATTCCAACTTTATACCTGTAACTGGATCTATGTTTTTCTTATCTTTTTTAATCCAGTAAAATCTTGGAATGACCAAGGCTGCTTGCTCCATGTATTTCAAGGTCATTCCAAAACGGTTACAAAGCTTCTACTGCATCCAAACACTACTTCTTTATTTATCTCTGGATCTCTAGATGGATCAGTCAAACTCTGGTCATTTGATACTATGGATGCTTTTTACAGGTAGCTGGAAAAAACTTTTTTTTAAAAAAATCTACATATCTCCTGGGTTGAATCCAAAGACAATGTTATAAAGAAAGTTTCCTGAGCATCAGTCCATATGTTTCCTATATTAAAATATGTGCTCTAAAAAAAAAAATCAGGGTACTTCAGAGACTTTTTAAAAAAATCTATACCAACATTCACAGTGCTACAATTATGAGTATGCTTTGCAACTCTGGAACATGCAGAGAATGTCAGATTATCATTGTTTTCTCTTGCTATCTTGGAGGTAACCAGTATCCAAACTCTCCTTTGAACCCACTGTTAGTACATCAGTTTATGAGTTAACAAAAACTCTTCATTCCCTTTCAACAATTAAATAGCCTCTAAACTATACCTTAATTTTTAAAAGAAATACCAGTATGGGGTACCTTGCCAAAAAAAAACATATACATAAAACAAAACAAATAAGTTGAAAGGTAAAAGCAAGGGAATTTTTAAAATATAAACAAACACTTTTAGATATGGTGATATAGTGGTAAATGTGCATTGAGAAGCCTTTTGATAGGAAAATGAAGGAAGAGCAGCTATAAAAATGCATATAAAAATATCAGGGTATAGAAATTCTGCTACAAAATACTGACTTCAGTGGAGCCGTGGGGAGAGGATTGATTGCAGATAGTATTACCTGCTCTGATTTCAGATGAAAGTAAAATGGTGAAACTGAAGACAAGAATCAGGTTTATGGTGAAAAAAATCATCCTGGGAAAAGCAGGCAATTTTCATGAGCTAGGCAAATGTTATGGAAAATTTCACTGATAGAGCAAGAAATACAGAAAGAGTAAGCTGTACAAATATCAGATTAGAAATGAGATAGTTTTGATGTCATCAAAGCAATTGAGACATTCTATTGGCAGTTTAAAAATATTCAGAAGGACTTAGGGTGACAGGATACCTTTGAATCAATTTTGTATCAATTACATACAATAAGTAGGCTAGTATTAAGCTTTTAGTATATAAAATATAAATAGAATATAAAAATATAAATAGAATATAAATATTAAAGTAGTGCAAAGCAGGCTTCAAAGTAAGCTGGAGTTAACATAGATATGAGTACATATAAAGTTGTTTTGAATTAGTGTCCATAAAATAATTTTATTTTTATAAAGATGTGGGATTTTTCCCTTGCACAAGTCATTGTAAAACACCTCAGTGATGCATAACTATAGTAGCTTTCAGATGGAGTTAAAATAAAAAATTTGCAGAATGTGTTCTGCATTTTTCTGTGTGATCTTCTGTGATTATACAGAAATTATTACAGTAATAATGTAATAATTTAATAAATTATGTAATGTTTTCATTTGTTGACAAAAGTACATCCTTCTTCAAACAAATTACCTCAGGTATTTAGAATATAATTCCTATTCGTTTCAGCCTTTCTATTGGTCAATGATGGGAGTTGTATTCTAAAACATCTTTGAAGACCCTGGTTCAATTGTACAAATTATCATTTGTAATGTTAAATGTTGTTCTATCACACATTTGAAAGTGGTTGCTTCAGGAGTACATAATAGCTGACTTCCTTTTTTCTTCTTACATTTGGTCTATACTGCTATTCTTCTTCGTCCAGTTTATCCCTCTTCCAAGAAGGAATACTTTCGATTGGCACTATGGAAGATAAATTTCTTTACTGCTGCTCTGCTCGCAATGTTCATATTTATGATCTGAATTCATTCACCAGCTTTTGGAGTCATGTCAACAGCCCAGTAAATCACTTCCACATCTGTAGCGCTGTTGGGAAATCCAACAGGGTGGTGGCAATGGGTATTGATAACAGGTATGTTAAAACAATAATAAAACTGGCAATCTTCCTCTAAACCTTTTTATTTATTTATTAGTCATATTTCTATGCCGCCCACTCTCCGAGGACTTTGGGTGGCTTACACCAAAGACAGTATACTAAATAGCATATTGCCCCCAACAATCTGGGTCCTTATTTTACCCACCTCGGAAGGATGGAAGGCTGAGTCAACCTTGAGCCGGTGAGATTTGATCCGCTGATCTGCTGAACTAGCAGTCAGCTGAAGTAGCTGCAGTACTGCACTCTAACCACTGCGCCACCTCGGCTCAAACCTTTTTAGGATTTTTGTTAGATATTATTGTTTTTAATATGAACTAAACTCTGATAAGAACTGAAATAGTCCCCAAATAAGTACTCTTGTGGATAACAATAGCTGTTACAATGTTACCATATACTGTATAACTAAAACAAACTTCCCTAATTTATGACGATTGACTATATGGAAGCATTGTATGACAACAAAATCTTTATTTAAGATTTATTTTATGAATGTTATAACTGTGAAATGGTTTTTTAAATATAATTTTTACTAATTTTTTTCTCTTGTTTATTTTCAAAGTTTAAGAATATTCTCTGTTCAAACTGGGAAGAAATTATGCACTGTTTTGCCACCTCCTTATCCCCCTATGCTGCAGCCAGTTCTCAGCTTTACCTACAACAGGACTTGTGGAACTGTTTATTTTCTATTGACACCTTGTGAAATATGGATTTATACAGCAAGGTAATAAGACACCTCTATTTTAATAGCAATTGAAAATAGTTATTATTTTAGGAGAGGATAATGTGTTAGATGTGAAAAATGAGAAAAGTTGAAGTTGAACATAAAATATAGAATAAGACACAGAATAATAGAGTTGGAAGGGACCTTGGAGGTCTTCTAATCAATCCCCTATTCGAGCAGGAGACCCTATAGCATTTCAGACAAATGGCTGTCCAGTCTCTTTTTAAACACCTCTAGTGATGGAGCACCCACAACTTCTGGAGGCAAGCTATTCTATTAGTTTATTGCTCTCACCATTTTGAAATTTCTCCTTAGTTCTAGCTTGCTTCTTTCCTTGGTTAGTTTCCATCCACTGTTTCTTGTTTTGGCTTTTGGTGCTTTGGAAATTAGTTTGACTCCCTCATCTTTGTAGGAGCCCCTCAAATATTGGAACAATACTATTATTATTATTTTTAATTTGATTTATATGCCGCCCTTCTCCGGAGACTCAGGGAGGCTTACAATGCACTAAGCAATAGCCTTCATCCTTTTGTATATTTATACAAAGTCAGCTTATTGCCCCCACAACTGGGTCCTCAATTTACCTACCTTAGAAAGGATGGAAAGCTGAGTCAACCTTGAGCCTGGCGAGATTCGAACCTGCAGTAATTGCAGGCAGCTGGTCTTAATAATAGAGTGCTTTAGACCACTGTACTACCAAGGATCTGAGAAACCAACAAGTGCATTACGTCTCTCCTAGTCCTAAATTTTGAAAACCTAAGAGAGAAAAATGGCAAATATTTTTTCTATAATTGAAAGTATAATATGTGGATGGAATTGATAGAATTAATTTATAGAAATGGGCCAAGAAACTTATAATATCAGAATGTTGTGGCTTTTATTTCAATGAAAAAGAAATACTCTTTGTTTTCCTGATATATTTCAGAACTAAAATGAAATACATGTACATTAGCTTTCAGCTTCAAGTGTCTTAGGAAGTAAAAACATTTTAACAAATGTAAACAAAGCAGTGGCAAAACATATGTGTTTGTTTTTGCATCTCCATTTTATAATTGTGTTGTGCCAATTGTGTCGTGTTGTGTTTTTAATTAATAAAAATAATTGAAACTGTTAATTTGTAAAAGAAAATTAATATATAAGAATATGAAGTTGCTTCCAATTCCATAGTAATATGCCATCTTGAAATCTATGATACTATTTATATATTTTTCCCAAGTATTCACAGTTCCAACTTTTGATTTTCAATTTGCATTTGAATATGGGAAAGAAATAAGGAAAATAACAAGATATCATCTGAACAACAAAACTATCATTAAACTGATTTAACTGAACAGTATTTTCTGATATCTTTGCTGTCTAATATATGTGCCTGCTTAGCTGAATAGTTAGGATGACCTTTTTTCTTAGGCGATCCTACCAGGTATATATATTCTTGACATACAGTCCCTGTATTCTCTAGTCATCCCCTCTAGGAATAACAGCCTTTCATGATGAGATAGAATACCAGGACTTGAGAAGAGATAAATAGTAGCTTCATGCTTTTGGTTATAAAACAGTTCTAAACCAAAATTGTTGGCTAAGATAAGAAAATCATAATATTACTTTAAAATTAATTATAATTTTAATTCCCATTTGGTTTTTAGTCAGCCCTTCTGACTGGCCCCACTTCCCTATTCTTTTTAAACTGGAGCCTTTGGTTGTTATATAAAAATTATTGACAAAAATGGATTGGTTCTGACAATGTGCTCAATGAATATTAGTTTAAACCTCAGTTCTGATTATTTACAGATGATGTGCGTCCTTAATTCCTAAAAAACAGTTTGTATCAATTCTCAAAAGATCTTTTCTTTGCCCATTGGGTGAGATAAAAACTAGCTTTGTAGTTTTTGAAGCGCTTGAAAAATAATATTTAAAGGGATGGGAGTTTCTGGCACAAAATTTGAAAAAACAAAACAGACTTTCAGTTTCTTGTATTGTGTTGCAATCTGAAGAACAGTTGATTGGATATTCATGTCAACATACAGTATGCAGCAACAGTTAAAGTGAGAACAGGGAATATATAGAGGACTATTTTTCCCCCATTGTTCATTCAAATGTGAAAAGCTAATGAAATCAATATCAAAAGATAACTCAAGTAATTTCCCAAATGAAATTATCCGACTTTTTTCTGCTTTCAGTGTCAAAGACAGGTTCCTATATTTCATCTTTATTGTTACGATAACAAACTTTTAAAAAAAACATTCAAAGCAGCATTTTGTATGCAATATATGTTTTTGGTGTGAATTGTTTGCTGTTCCTAATTCAATAGATAATTTCAATCTAATCTTCGACCCATGATTATTGCTATTGGTATTATACACCTGAGGTTGGTTTTGATTTTAGGACTGATCCTGCCTGTAGAGCAGCAGTATGGACCACAAGGGAACTACAAGAACATTTACATCGAAAACACCCTTTAGCTTCGCAAGTATCTTTAATTTTTGTTGTAATTAAACCAAATTGTTGGACAGCTTCTTCATATGTTATAAAGACTTTCATGAAAAAAATTGGTTTGTTCAAAACAAGACATTTTGATGGTATTAATGCACAACATTAAAAATATTGGGTTTATATACATAACTCATTCTTCAAAACATACCATAATTTTGTTTCACAAATTTGTAATACTGTACAGTGATCTTTATGAAAATTATTTATTTATTGTATTTATAATTATAATTTTCTATTCAAAAAATGCAGAAGATAGCTAAGGATAAAAACATCTTTAAAATTAAAAATCATAGGTCTAGATAAACAGGAGAGTCTTGAATCTTTGGCAAAATAGTAGTAGCAATTAGTGGTATCTCTCAAGAAAATACATCCCTCAGAACTGGAGTAACAACCAAAAAATAAAAGCATTTTTAAGAGGGCTTCTCCAGATATCAGTATCAGACATGATTCCTTAGTCAAGTCCTAAGATATTTAGGTCAAAAGCAACATTATATATTGTGGCTAGAATAAAACTGAAAACAGTACAGGACTTTCAATATAGAGATAACATGTGCATAGTACTGTGTTAGTTAACAGCACACTGCATCCTTAGTATGTATCAGCATTAGAACATTACATATACCCCAGTGGTGAAATCTAAATTTTTATACTACTGGTTCTGTGGGCATGGCTTGGTGGGCGTGGCAGGGAAAGGATACTGCAAAATCTCCATTCCCACCCAACTCCAGGAGAAGGATATTGCAAAATCCCCATTCCCTCCCCACTCCTGGGGAAGGATATTGCAAAATCTCCATTCCCACCCCACTCTGGGGCTAGCCAGAGGTAGTCTTTGCTGGTTCTCCGAACTACTCAAAATTTCCGTTACTGGTTCTCCAGAACCTGCTGGATTTCACCCCCAATATACCCTCTTGGTGGTGGGATGTAAAATACTCTATATTGACTTGCAAAGTACTCTTTATGAAGAAAACATGATCTAATCCAATGGAAGAGAGTTGAATGCATGTAGGGATGTGAGGGTGTAGATTTAATTACAAATGAAAAGGCAAAAGTTTATGTCACCGTATATGAACTGTGATTTTAGGTCGTTTAAGGCTGTGCATGAAAGCTTAGAATTGTTATTTCTTATGCTTCAGTAATTGTTAATAATGGAAAAACTAGGTAGTTTCTGGTTCAGAAGGAAGATGGTCTGATCTTGTGATAGTCCCCATCAAATGGATTTCCAGAGAATAGAGACTGGGCTTTTTCAGAAAGCCTTTCATAATCACACAGTTGGAAAAAGATCTGAAGAATCAGAAAGAATGAACAAAGAAACAAAAAAAAGTCTCAGCACAGTGTTGTTGGAGAAAATTGTTAAGGCTACCTTATTTAGCTCTTTGGAGCAGCCAGATCAATGTTTAAGGTATCACAATCATTCAGTAACATCTTCTGGACATGGTCTGAAAGTAAAGAATGAAAATTGCTAATGGCTGATGCAAGCCCAGCTGACATTCTACAAAGAGATCAAAGATAACTAATAGGACTGCGTTCTCCTTATCCTTTTCACATCACAATGGCCAGAGCAATCTCAATCTTACATCCAAGCAGAAGCCTATTTTTGTTTTATAAAAATTAAAAAAAACATGAAAAAAGAGCTTTCCAATTACCTTTTTGGAGTAGCTATAAGACCGATCACAATCAGATCCGATCAACTGATTGTGTTGCCTGTGTAGAGATATAAATACTTACCTAAGAGAGTTGGCTGACTGGCTGGCTCTGTCAGTCATATCATGAAAATACAGTTATTATCTGAGAACTTAAGTAAATGATTGAAACATCTGATCAGAGCAGAAATAAAAATTAGAACTCTGGCTTAAAGTGTGCATCTGTTATCTTTGTAAGCAGTAAAGAAATCAGAACAAGTCATAAACCAAAGATTATACAAAGTAGTAATGATGGTTACATTTTTATATAGAGGAAATATTTTCTTTTTGAACTGTGCAAAGATTAACTAATCAGAACAAAGGATTTTAGAATAAATTTTTAAATTTTAATTTTGTTGATGGGGGAGAGTATGATAAACAATAGGGTAAATATGCCTCCAAGGAATAATATCTCAAAAGAAGAAAGTATTCATGAAAATGAAATAAGATTGATGCAGAGATTTTAACTAAAATACTGTATAAAGATGTTTCTCTTTGTCTACAAATGGCTGAAATAGAAATGATCCCTGACCATGGGCTACTACATTTCCCCATGCAACCTCTTAAAATAATAATAACGAATTATTTAATTTATATGCTGTAGACTCTCAACAACTCAGGGAAACAGCTTCTTTGGGAAGGGAAAAAGCTACTGCCTAACATGTTGAAATAGTAATTTGCAGGTGTCTGCTCAATTACTATTTCAACATGTTAGGCAGTAGCTTTTTCCCTTCCCAAAGAAGTTGTTTCATTGTAGAATTATGATGTAACAACTGATAATTAATAGTTTTGTCTGGTAAATGCATAACAACAATGATCAAAATCGCTTTATGAAAGCGTTGTCTCTTTTATACAAGTAAATTGACTTACAACTGATAGATACTTATTGATTAAAAGGTATCTTATATATCTTCCTAGATGTACTGAGAAAAATGGATATTTTCAACATACACAAAAAAGGAACTTTAGGACTTCAGTGAAATGTGAATGCCTCTGCAGCTTGTCCTCACCACTATGTTACTTGGTAGATGAAGGAATGGTGTATGCAGATAATGAGGAATTTCTGGTTCTCGGTATGCAGGTAAAAATCCAGCAGGATATAGATTTATGTATATTTGCTATTAGAATTTATTTGAAAATGATAACTTCGGCATGTTTCACAAATATTACAAATAAAAAAAAAATCCTCCTTAAATTACTGATCATTAAGAAGGTGGTACACACGATCAGAATTGTAAGATTCTGTTATTATAGTCAATCCTAATAAAAGTAATTTTAGTCTTCCTGTTGAATTGACTTTATAGTCTGGTTTACCTAATAGAGCTCACATATACTGATATACTCTAAAGCAGGAGTGTCAAACTCATGACCCGTGGGCCGGATGCGTCACATGCTGGCTCTGCCCCTGCCCAGTTTAGCAAAGGGGGAAAAGTTCCGATATGTCACATGACGCCACCGTGATGAAGCGACGTTGACACCTCTGCTCTAAAGTATCATCACGCATCAAATTATATTTTTCGAGAAAGTAATATGAGTCACGGTGTCTAATAAAGGTAAAGTATCAGATATAAAAATCAAAACTGGATCAGTGTGAGAGAAAAGATCCTAAACGAAAAGGCACGTTTAGTCTCATCTAACATATTGGTTGATATGAAAGGTGAAAAGTTGAATATGAAAGGAAATGGGCATTGAGACTGAGGAAAGTGAGCAAACTCACTCAAGGAGATGAAACGGAAAAAAAGGGGTGACCACTGCATGGAGATTATAAAATACTGTGTTTCCCGAAAATAAGACATGTCCGGATAATAAGCCCAATCGGGCTTTTCAGCGCATGTGATAATATAAGCCACCCCTACAAAATAAACCCCCCCACCAACTACTTACACGCATGCGCAGCCAGTCCTGCCATTTCCTCTGGTTGCTTGCTGCACAACCAAACGAGTTCAGGAGGCGAGGTCAGAGGGGGGGAGGGGGGACATGTCCTCCCCTCCCTGTTCTTCACATTGGCTGAGCGGCCCAACACGTCCCACCCTACCCCAATGGCAATAGCAGCCTGGCTGTTTCCCTTCCCCGCTGTCTTTTTATCAAGAGAGGTGGCAGGTGGGGTGGGGGAGAAGTGAGATGTGTGGACCAAGACATGGGTCCCCTTGCCGTCTCTTCTCCCCCCCTCGCTGGACAGGGCTCCTGCCCCTTACTTAGCCATCCTCCCCCTTTAGGGATGCAATTTGGGGGTGGCAGGTGGGGTAGGTGAGAAGTGGGACACAGGTCTTACCTTTCAAGCTCCGTCACTTTCCTCCCCGTTGTGTCCAGTGAAACACGCTATAAAAGAAAACCTTCTCGCGAGTTCAATCAAACTTCTCAAACTCACGAGGTTTTTTTTTAAAGGGGGCGGGTGACTAAGCAAGGGGCAGGAGCCCTGCCATGCCCAGCGAGGGGGGAGAAGAGACGACAAGGGGAGCCATGTCTCGGTCCACGCATCTCGCTTCTCCCCGACCCCACCTGCCACCCCTCTTGATAAAGAGAAGGTGAGGAAAGGAAACAGCTGTTGCCATTGGTGTGGGGTGGGATGTGTTGGGCCACTCAGCCAGTGCATAGAACAGGGAGGGGAGGTGACAGCAGCGATGGGACATCCAAACCCTTATTTGGGGGGGGGGTGTCAAAAGAAAATAAGACCCTGTCTTATTTTGGGGAAAACACGGTAGTATCAGGCAGGCAAATAGCATTGACAAAATATGTCCATAGTATTGCAACCAAAATTATAAGCATCTGGAATTCAAAAAGCTATAAGGAATGATTTGAAGTGTTGGCTGTGTTTAGCCTGGAGAAGAGAAGAATATGTAGACACATGAACGCTATCTTCAAACATGTAAAGAATTGTGATATAGAAATGTTCAGGATTGTTCCAGAAGATAGGAGAAGAAACTGTGTTCAAACTGCAAGCAAGTAGATTTTAGCTTAATATCAGGGCGGGAAATCCTGTTGATAAGAGTTGTTGGGCAATGGAGCAGATTGCCATGAGAAATGGTGGGCTGTCTAATGATGGAAGTATTATTAAAAAGAGGCTGAATGCCCTATGCCAGAGATGCAATATTAGGGTTTGCCTAACTGGATTGCCAGAGTCCCTTCTAAACCTAACATTCTATGATTCTAGGGAACACTGTAATTTTTCTAGGGAATATTTAAAATTCATTCAATCATTTAAATTATGATGTTGAATTAATAAATCAAAGTTTATTGGGAAAATTAAAATTTAATAAAATTAAACTTAGATGTGTTGATTTAGATGAGTTTATTTATTGGCCATAAGTTTTCATAGTTTTATATTCCCTGTCTTTCATGCTAGGTGACAACCCGTAATTATATTTGAGATGTATTTTGAGCAAGTATAGTAATTAATTAAAGTTAGGTATAAATACATATTTTAGTTGGTTCAGGTATTCAGGCATTATCTAAAATGCAGTATGAAATGTTCAGTTTACTTGTTCAGTACCTTAAAAGAAACCTTTTAACAGTGTAATCAGTATACAAAATAAACTTACATACATCATTTTGGAATTACTGAAAGCAAGGATAAGCAACTCTGTATCTCATTCATTCATTAATATACATATGAAATGTGAAGTTACATTATTTCAATTTGCCACAGAGTTTTGTACAACATAAAATGTATCTCTATGTTATTGTAGAGTAGTTCTCTTATATTTTGATAGTTGTGACTCAAAGATTATTTTTTTTAAATCTGAGGTTGCACTTAAGATTTAGTCATTAGATTTTTATTTGGTGACTTTTATTAAACTGCAAATATCTATAACAAGGGCTTTGAACTTTTTCAGGCAGCAGTACTTGTAAGTTTAAAACTTCCCAGAATCCTTGATCAAGGGACAATACTCTAGACATAAAAAGTTGGCGGCATTTGAATGTTTTTACTTGCCATTAGTCTTTCCCATCAAATTCTTCAGAAATGCTAGAGTTCCATGAAACACCTTTGAAAAACCCTGATCTATAAAACATTTATTTTCAAGGATTTAAACATTCTAAGCAGTTTATTCATATAAAATGAATAACACAAAATCATTGCCTCCAGAACACAGTGCTATGATGAGAAAGCATCCCATAATACTCCCACAAAAAATTTCCATTTGTGAATTTCCATATATGTGTGTGTGTATGTTCATGTGGTATAGCAGATTTTCATCATATTGGGTATAATATTTCTTTTAAAAGGATGGAAGAATTCTATTTCTCCATACATCTGTTCAAAACTTGGTATATTATGAGATGGCTACTTACGAAGATCCTGTAAGTGCATCTTTCCTAATATTTCTTTTAATGTAATGCTAAATGTATGCATGTCAGGTACTGGACCCAACTGTTCCTCTTCATCATCAACCACCTCCAGACCTGGGGGCTGTTGACTCTCCATCTGAGAGCTGATGGATGGCCCAGGCTCCACTTCTGTCTCTCTCTCCCTCTGCCAGCTCCATTCCCTCTTCCCCCTCAAAGCTCCCAGATTGCCCTGATGCTGACCCTGACTCCCATGCCGCCTCCTCCTCTGATTCGGCTCTGAGGCCAGTGGCTGACAGGCCACAACAGATACATCAAAGCAGAGAAAGGAACAAAGGAAAATCCCATTGCAAGCATAATCCCAAGCCTCCCCCACTCCCACCAGAATGGCAAGGTCCCAATAGAGATCTATGGGACCTGAAACATATATTCAGTTTCTTGTTTCAAAATTAGTCAGTTTCTTGTTTTAAAATGCAATATATTGCCACTTAGAATTATAAATTTACATGATCATGATTTTCAAGTAAGGTTTGGTTGTGTGAAATGGATATCACTGGGATCTGCTATACTGGACAGATCTTCATCCATTTTGGAATGTTAAAAGCTGTGAGGAAAATTTCAGTATAGTTACGCAAAAATTACCATTTCAGTTATCAAAAGCTGCTACAAGAGTAATCCTACATGTTATAGTATCTTAATTTGCTGTGCCCTTTTGTAATAAAGGTTGAGATACAATTGTTTGATCTATGCACAGAAGGTTGCATATATACACAGTGATCTGTATTGCACCCAAAGGATTCCTTCAGAAGGGATTTTTTCAACCACAAAATTCCAATATTCATTAACACTTGTTTTACCAACTCCTAAAGTGTTATGAATTAAATCAAATCTGGCATGATTTTTTCCATGACTGGTACTTCTGGAATTCGGGGTGGGGGGGGGGTTGTTACTGAAATTTCTAGAAATGGAAGTAAAAGGTTGTCTGATTCACTGAGTTTAAATGTCATGATAAGCATAAAATCAATAAAATGCTCCAGACCCTATCTGACATTTATTTGTTTCTATAAAAGGAATATTTATTTACAGGGCTTACATAGCCACTATCTCTTACAGTGGAATTTTGTGAATTTGGAAAGTCTACCAAGCAACCATTCTGGGTGAGCCCATGTGGTTTTAATAACAACAATAATAAAAATTTACAATCACATTTGTGAGTTTCAAATTTGTTTTGTAAGAATTTGATATTATTAAACCTGTATTTAAAAAAACTCATTCATTAAATATTAGTGTTTTGTTCCCAAAAACTATATAGAAATATTAACCTATTTAATCCAATAACTTTTCACATTTGCTTTTATTTTTAATTTATATAGTCACTTAGAAATTGTTTTTATTCAAAAATACTCTCAACATTTAGGTCATCCATTTGCAACATGATATAATCCATCACCAACTGGTAATCATGTGCCAGAAACCAAAATACAAATTGATTCACTACAGGAGTCTACCTGCTCTGGAACTGGTCTTTCAAGTTTATTTGCCGAATGATGCCACCGTTTTCACAAGGCTTGTGAGTAATAGGAATAGTTGTATAATATTGAGAGTGTAGAGTTGAATGGCATATCATTGAAAGAACTATACTTATTTATTCATTATTACTGCTTGTTTCTTTATGGTTCCTCTAATCACATTGTATGGATCCTATATGCTGTTGTTTGATATACAGTTGGGGCATCATATTTTGTTTGATATACTGGCTGGGGCATGTCGTGAGAATGGCTGATGGTTGGATTCCGAAAGATCTCTTGTATGGAGAATTAGTGCAGGGAAAGCGCCTCAGAGGGAGACCACAGCTGCGATATAAGGATACCTGCAAGAGGGACCTAAAGGCCCTGGGAATGGACATTAACAACTGAGAAACCTTGACCTCTGATCATTCAGCTTGGAGGCTAAAGATGCAGCATGGCCTTCTCCAATTCGAAGAGACACTTGTTCAGCAGGCTGAGGCAAAGAGGCAGTCCCGGAACCAGCGAAATCTGGGGGCTGGGCAGGGGACAGAATGTATCTGCCCTCAGTGTGGAAGGGATTGCCACTCTCGAATTGGCCTTTTTAGTCACACTAGATGCTGTTTTAGGACCTCTTTCCAGAGCACGATACCATTGTCTCTTGAGACTGAAGGATGCCAATGATGATGATATACAATATCTGGCTATATCTCTGCAGCTAGTCATATAGGAGAAAAAGGTTCTAATTGTGGAGGCATATGTGGAGATTTTTAAATATTTGTACTGAATTTATTATCCCAAGACTCTTGAATGATGAGCACTTCTATTACACACAAAGTAAAAAAAAAATGGTGAAAAAATGGTGAAAAAATGGTATAAAATAGATATGACCAGCTATCTTTCAGCTTTCACTATAGATGGAGACTTTTCCTAAAGTAATATCATTCTTGCCAAGTTGTCTTTTAGACATTCCCATCTAAAAAAAAGACATTCTTTTTTTAATCATGATTTTGGACTAATGATACTGAACTGCCTTTACTTTGCATAAAACAATGCTGTTAATAGTGAAAATGTGGAACAATACCAGAAAATATATGGGAAATGGCATGGAAAACACTTTTACTAATGTTTATATGCTTAACATTTCAGTTTCATGTACATAGTTGTTTTGATTCCTCTGTGTCAGGAAAGAGAAAAACCAGGAACAGAAGCTGTTTATCTGAAAACAGACCCATTTTTAATGTTTTTATTAGGTGAAAAAGCCATGATTTGAGAGCTATGATAAAGCTGTTGTTTATTCTGACCCCCCCCCTTTTCTTTTTTTAATGTGGACTAAACTATAAACAAAGTAGGCAACTTTTGTGTTCAGCAAACTAAAATAATTCGCATATTTCAGGACAGATCACTTTTTATTGGCCTGAAATCTGGCATCGTGGATATTTTAAGTATTCTAGAGGAAAACGATGAAGTGACATTTCCTGAAAAAGGTATGAAATTCATTGTTAATCATTTAATGTACAAATAAATTAGAAGAATTAAAACACAAATCTCTGTATTATATATATATTTTTCTAGCATACACCACTAACACAGTTTTCCCCCTTACCTGGATACATGATTCTATGGCTGGGCTCAAAACAAACAAAGTAAGAAAAAAAGGAATAGTTTATTTATTTATTTATTATTTATTTATTTATTATTGCGATTTATATGCCGCCTTTCTCCCTAGGGACTCAAGGCGGCTTACAAAATGACAAATTCCAATACAAATCACAATGAAATAAATTAAAATCAACAACCCTATTAAAAACAGTTTAAAATTATAACAGTATATCCCCAAATGGATCAGTTGAATTGACGAAAGAGCCACGTCTTCAGCTCGCGATGGAAGGAAAGAAGGTCGAGGGATATCCTGAGCTTATGACAACAGTTAGAGTTCACATATGTTCAGTTAAGAACAGAGGATACCACATTAATGATTATCATGCTGTGTAAATCCATCTGATTGCAAATAGGTGGAGTTGATTGCTCCATTTATTTGCAGCAGATGCACAATTTAATTCACTTAGGTTGTCATAATAACAATCTAGTTTCTGTTCCTTGATGAGTTCTATCTGTAAATCAGATTCTTATTGTTTAGTTGGGCATCATGCCCAGAAAAGGCAACTTAAATATTGTGCAACCGTTATTTAAATCACAAGGCTCTTCAAATAGATAAAATGACTATTAAGTAAGTACATGAATGCAATATCTATAGTTAAATCCTCTGGGCCTAATTATTCTAGTTTTCTTTCATTTTTAGATCTAGTTTTGTCTGGTTGTCATATTATTGTTATAAGAGAAATATTCATTTGGCCCTTAATTGATAACTGCTGTATAGATCATACATATGTAATCCCCAAAAAAATCAGTCTCTGTTTTTTTTCTGATTAAATATTACTAGGAAGAGATGGGCTAAGCTGATGGTGATGCCAGAAAACTGAGTAATTTGTTCATAACTCACAAGACATCTTCCCTGAATTAATACCTTACTGTATAGTACAGTTCTTGTTGCCTATTTAATTCCACCCAGAAACATTCCAGTTAGGAATTCTGTAATCCTCTTCAAATATTTTACACAGTTTAACTTTTGTTGTCCAGATGCTTTCAAGTCTTCGTGACTTGTTGGACATCATGTTGCCAGACTATCAGTAACTGGAATTACAACTCCAGTTAATTAATATTTATTTTTCTTTTTTTATTTATTAAATCTTTTTGAATAAACGATTAAAAACAAAGAGGGAAATCCCAGTAGTTTACAAAGACATGATGTATCTCAACTATCTCATCCGTAACAATAAATATTAAATACTTATTTAAAATATGAAAGAATTTCTCTCCTGAGCAGTGTTTAAGCCCTAAATGAGGACCTACATTTTCTGCCTGGAAATTTTCTTCCTTTCTTCAGTATTTCTATTATATTATTATTCTGCAGCCAATTTCGGAACCCAGAAATGAAGACAGAGAGAGAACCCACAAGGATGCAATTAGCTAATGTTCTTTAGTTTTTAAAATGGGCACTTAGAATACATTCCAAGCTCCTTTTATTGTGAATCAGTTCTCATGAGAAACAGACCACTTAGGGATAATTTTGAAGATCAATCTTTAACTGGAACCAGAGCGTCTCTTGCTAGGACTGATATATTAACAATTAGAAAAGGGCACTTGAACAATTATGAAATATTTGTAATGGAGGAATGGTTGGTAAAGATGACAGAATTAACAAAAATGGCAAAATGATTTGTCTGATTAGAGAAACAACAGTAACCTCATTTATTAGTGAGTGGAAACCCCTTATGGTTTTTTTGCTGAAGAAAGAAAGAAAAAAGAAATATGTGAATGTATGGGTTTGATAACTAAGAAGAGCTAGATTATGGAACGAAGAAAATTATATGTAATCTTCAAGCAAGAGTTACCTTGAGATGGGTGGCATATAAGTTTGATAAATAAATAAGGGAGCAAAATGTAAATGCATTTATAACTATTGTTAAAAAGGTAGGAGCTGTGTCTTTATCATCTTTTTCATTTTCTTTCTTATCCATTCATTATTTTTCTTTTCTCTATTTCCTCTTTAATGTTTGTAATGTTTTTACTTTGTTAAAAATTACTTTAATAAAAATTATAAAAGAAATGGTAAGACCACCAACAAAGAGACAGGTAGCTTTCCTATGTTTCCAGGAAGGCCTTTATTGTATAAAAATTTATTTCCTAATCTCTGCCGTATTATTTTTCACCAACCCTATGCCATGTTACAGAATGTGTGATATATACTGTATCTTTGAATAATTCCTGTACAGCCCTATGGGCAATTCTATTCTGCTTTTTTGCTTGAGCTTACAACAAAATTGTTAGCTGTTGCTGCCAGCTGCTCTTGTGAACTGCAAAATTATCTTTGCATGGTCTCTCAGTCTATCCTGAGGGAGGGAGGGAGGAAGGAAGGTGCTTGACCAGACACTGACTTGCTGTAGGCTTTCAGTATCTCTGCTGGTCTGATGAGGCTGCTGAACATTGCTACCCTTTCAGCTTATTTGCTATTTGTTGAAATTCAAGCCTGCTCCTTTTTTTACTATCAATCATCTCCTAAGTTGGCTGCTGCAAATTCTAATTTTCTGCTAACGAAACATACATTTTCTTAGGGGGGGGAGGAGGGGGGGAGGGAGATTCTATCAGAATTTTTCTTTTATAAATAGAAACTAGGTATGTTGAAACCAGGTGTGTTGCCTTAAAGTCAGTGGCCCCTGCTGGCCACTGGAAAGAGTTCCCTCCCCACTTATCTGTTTTTAGCTGTTTTTTTTTTAAAATAAATATTAGATTTTGGAAAGAAAAACCTTGAAAATATGCTTTATATGCATCTCGATACTATGTAAAAGAGAAGAGTAATTGCTCTACATATGGAAATGAGGTACAATAAAGGGTTGATGGATAGTTCAGTGTTACTTCCTTTTAATTGAGTCATCTCTCACTATTTAGTCATCCCTCTGTACTCCCAATGCTTTCAAGGAAGACATAGGCCGCTGTAATTTATTGTCTCATTTAACTTTCCAATAGATTGTAATGGAAACAAGTGATATGTTTAAGAAGGCAGTTGAGTCAGTTTCCCATTTAATTTAATGCACAATTAGCACATGTACTGTTTATGAGTAATGTACTGCTACTACTGTTATGACAGTGTTAAATTCATAGCTTATTGCATGTTAAAAGGCTTTCCTGACAGAGTTTAATGTTAGCCAACTGCACCTGCCAGATACAGTATGTAAAAGCTACCACCATCACCAGGTTTGTAGCCTTTATTCTATGCAGAACATAATTGGCACATGGAAAGTACATGAAAAGAAAAGGTGTTTGATACCTTTCATGCAGTCGATGCTGTATTAAGATCAGTCTTTGCACAACAAGAATATGTTGTCTTTGGCCAGCATACTATGTAGCAAATTAAAAATGTAATGATAACAAACGTTGTAATTATAAATATTGCCATTGAGTTTTATCATTCATATATTCATCTCTTAACGCAGAATATCTTTTTTTTAAAATTGATCTTCATCAGCTATCAGTTGGTCCAAAGTCAATATCTCTGCTTCCATCCAGTATTTCTATATGATCATTTTCCTCCCATATTTAAAATTGGGCTTCTCCAGAAAATTAATTTGGCATGGGAAAAAGGGTCAGATCTTTCTTTATTAGATGGTACATAACTTTCTAACTGATGTAATTGTTTCCAGAGACAGTAGAGTTTTAATATATTTAGATCCTGGCCATCCAACCAAAAGTGCTCTGTCTGTATGTACATTCCAAAGTTGCCCAAATTAGAAAATTAACACCAATTGTTGTTGGTTTTCAGTATTTACTGTAATGCTTGACAATCTGTAAGCATGATGATATAGCTCCAGTTTTGAAAAACTGATGAGGAAATTTGAAAATTTCCTCATCAATTGGTAATTGCACTTTCTGTAAAAATATTCTCAAAATTGAAGAAACCCACAGAAATTATTTTTTGAAAATATTTTCTAGATATTTAAACTGGAATGCCCGCAGAATATACATTAATTTAGGAATAATATTTATTTTCAGAATGTTCTCCTTTCCTCAAAGGGTTAAGATTGAATGACAAGAGACATCTATTGATTTCTGAAGAAATCATTCCACGTATTTTCTTTCTATGTTACTAACTGAACTATATCCTTTAGTACACACATACAGTATCTAAATGTTTAATGGATTTGGAACAAATATGGAATTCATATTCTTTAAATAGAAAGTAATCAAATGTTCACCTATTGACCCAATTTTGATTTGGATTGGTTAATACAATATTTAATGTTTAATTTAAATTTCCATTTAAATTTTATAGATTTTTTTCTTTTTCACCTCTAATAATTGGAATCATGGTGCTTTCTTTCATTTTAAATGATTAGCAAAGATCTTACCAGCTCTTTCTCCATTTTTCCAATATCTCTCATAAACATGTTAATATAAATTCTGTCTGCTGTAATAGTAGTTAATTCATATATTTTTTTCTATATTTCCCTTTAGACAGCTGTAGCTGGGCATCTACCATCTGTGTCCATAATGTTTCAGTTCATCTTTCAAATTATTTTCCCTTTTATTTTTAATCTTATTTTTGATGCATAAAGGATAATTCTACCTTGAAAATATGCTTTATATGCTTCTCATTTAAAAAAATATTGAATTCAAATCAAAAGCTTTATCAGTCAATAGGGAAACATTAAAACACTAATGTCTTGATACCTTAGTGGGTTTCTGAAATGCACATTTCAAAGCCATTGTACAATAGGGTGATAGAAGGTCAATGTTATTAAAAAGTAATGAAGCCTAATAAAATTCTGGAGGACATTTAAATAAAATAAAATGTAGCCTTTTAATTGCATGCCAGGAGTCTATTAAACTCAGTTCTTTCATATAAATCTTAATCTTCATATAAATCTTATAAATCTTACTAATGATTTTTTGGAGTGGCAGTATATTTCTTTCAATTTCAGTATCCAATATTTCATTGAAATTTAAATTTGATCCATAAACATTAACTATAATTACTGCAATATCTGTTATTTTAGCCCATAAAATTAAATAGTGTCAGTAATGACTTCTATATCAATTGGGAATCCAAGCCCATTAACGATTATCAGAGATAATATGTCTATTTTAACCTTGATCATTCCTTTTATTTTTAACAATCTTTATTTTTTTCTAATTCCTTCAAATAATGTCCTAAAACTGGATTGCTTTTCAGGTTTTTTTTTTATCACTTCTCATAAAATCCTTCAAAACTAGTCTCTTTTGTAAATACAGTATAGGGAAGTTATCTAGGTCGGTGTTTTTTGTTGTTATTTGTAAATCTCTTTTAATTACTAAGACATCAGCAGTGTAGCATATTTTTCCATATCATTCTTGCAGCCTGTCATTTTTAAATGCACTTTCAAATAAGTCTCTGACTTACCTGGAAAAAGCTGTTCTGTTTCCATGATATTCATAATATTTTTAAAAGACAGTCTATCTATAATGGCAATTATAATCTTAAAATTAACTTCTGTGAAAATTGTTCACAAGTATCCTTTAATATGTCCATTGTTTAATCATTTTTCTGTGTATCGGTAAGTCAAATGTAAGTGTTATTCTTCTTTAATTGTAAATTTTAGTTCCTTCTGATCCCTCTAGTATCTAACGTTGATAATCCCATCCTGTCATTTTTTTTTTAATTCAAAAATACAGCAAGGATGGAAGGATTCTTAATTTCGAAAACTTATTTCAAATCCATCTGGACCCTTAGTCCATTTGTAACTTTCCAAAATTCCATGCTGTAATCACCCTTTTGCTATTTATTTCAAAAATGAATTTTTAAAATTCCTTAGACTTGTATTTGAAAGTCTTTTTGCTAAGGATTGAAGGAAACTCATCCTGTATTATAAAACTTGTTGTAGGTTTCTATTAACTGAAAAATAGTTAAGAAACACTTTCTGAAAGTGGTTAAGAAATGAGGCTGGGCAAATCTTAATCACTGAGTTACATTTGGGAATCTTATGATTTCTCCTTTTTCTGGCAGACTTTGCTGGGTAGAATTCATTGTCATGTTGCTTCATGATCTTCACCACAATGCCATTCCTGCTCCTTCAGGGACACCTAATTTGCTATGAATTCTCAGAAGTTTTTATTTATAATATTTGCACCGTGTCTTGAAATAAAGCTTTCTTGGACAATTACGCTAAAATAACAGGCCACATGCATCTTTAGAGTTCGGGGAACAAATAACAACTGAAGTTAAAACTGTTGAGAACATTTGCTGATTAAAATAAGCAGAAACAGGGCTATACCAACAACTTTTCTGACCTAATTTAGGACAGACCCTAGCTCAAATAATTTTTAAATATTATCTTATATACCAGGAGTAATGCTTACGCATTGAAATACTCATTGGGAACTGTTTTGACATTGAAAGATGCATTACCAGGACTTACTGTATATAAGGAAAATTGAAGTGCTTGAAAAAAAAATCCGGTGATTTACAGTATGTTAAAGTGTAAGTGTGAATTGTTTTTTTTTTATTATCGAAGGGTATTCTTCGATACAGGGCACTCTCTGTAAATTTTAGTCATACTATGGTTTGTAGTATTATTGTACAAAACTAGCCATACAGCAATTAACCAATCTATAGAAACAGAGAAAAATCCTGTAGATAGTATTAAAATATGTTTTAAATGGCAGGTATATTCAAACTGTAGAATTATGTACGATAATTGAGAACTGATGCTTACGTTCTATCTTCAAGAGAAAATAGAAGAAAAAAATCTTCCAGCAACCTACCATGAGGGTCCTGTGATATCAGTGGATTCCTGCAAGAGTCTTTCTGTCTTTCTGAGTTGTGGGTAGGTAAATAAATCAATGTTGCCCTTCTATAAAATAAGGTCATAAAGTGATGAAATAGAGCAAAGATGATTGCAAACAAACCAGTGCCTCTTTTTTTTAAAAAAATGAAAGATTGGTACTCTGAAAAATAAAGCTTGGCAGGGTATTTGGTGGCTATTCCTTAATTTTCAATTTGGATTTTTGATTAGGAGGGCTGCCGCAGCTACTTCTAAAACATTCTTACTGCTATCCAGCAACGTGGTATTGCCTTTTCCTTTAGAACCTAACAAACTCTACATTATAGGAAGCACCCATGGCATCTTATCCAAAGCCTTTTCAAATCTAGTACTTACGTCGTATTTCAGAAGAGTTGCTTGTGTTTCATAACATCTCATTTTCAGTTTTATAGAAATGCATGGAATCGCATTGAGAAATTCTTTTTAGCTACATTTACTTAAGACATTTTATTTTTAATTCTACTTTTGTTGAAAAGTAGGATAATTGGCATGTCATGGGGTTCTTGAGCAAATGTTTCACTGAAGTCAAGATATATTGTGCCTATAACAACCCCATGATTTATCTGCCTAATTTGCATTTGGTTATTTTGTCCAATACTTTGCTGAAATCAAATATATTATGTCTGTAGTGTTCCAGTAACCCTTTAAGGAAGTTAATAAAATGTACACTGTTTAAAGGCAGATAAATGAGGGAAATCTACATATACAGTTAATTTAAAATAATAAAACAACACAATAAAGTTAATATGGCAAGATTTATAGTAACAAATTGAAGTTGATTTCTGGTATTTTTAATGTGTATCTTTATGACTTCCTCCAGAATCATCCAGGTTTTGATGCCTGAATGCAGTGGCAGATTGAGGCTTACTGGTGCCCTAAGCATTGGCAAATCTTGGTGCCCCCCTCCTTTCAATGAAGAACCAATCTTCATTGTTGTTGTTTTTTTCTTTCTCAACTTTGTGGTGCCCCCTTTGGGCCTGGTACCCTAAGCACGTGCTTAATCTGCTTAATGGTTAATACACCACTGCCTGAATTATTGGCCTGAGTTTGCCTTAATCCTCTATTTCCTCTTTGTTCTCCTCCAATCATGTGGCCAATTCTCCAGGATTTGTCCACGATTGGGCAGATTATAAATTAATTCCTCCATTGCTTTAGGATGCAATGCATTCAGTCAAGGAAGTTTCAAGTCATGCAGAGTAAAGAGGGATTACCTGATCAGATTTAATCACACTATCTTCACAATTTCCTGTTGGAGGTCTGAACTAAAAAAAATTGAATACCTCTGACTTTTTTTTAAATGACATATTAGTATTTTATATTCTTCACTGAGCAACTAGTATGCTGATTTTTTTTCATTTTTCTTTTTGAATATAAATTAAAGAAGCCATGTGTAACCACTGTGCAACTCGGCTCTTCCAATGAAATAAGCTAGAATTGTTTCGTGTTACAATGAGGAATTTAGGCAGAGTCTTAGATTCCTCTGTGAAATTCCATCTTATTTCTTCTCTTTGTTCCTCCATTAACACTGCTTCTTTGTGGCCTAACCCTCTTTACATTTTTTGTAGTTTTTTTTGTTTTATTTCTAGACCTTCTTTAAGTTTTGTGTGTACAGTAATGTGTCTTCTGAATCCTCATTTTTTTTCCTCATAGGAATCAGATGCAGTTGTATTTTTATTATCTCCTCCTTTAGGAATTCCCATCCAGCTGAGAATCTTTTCTGATCTTGTTGCTCTTGCCTCTCTTTGTTCTTTTGCATCTTTTGACCTTTCTCCTTCTCTTATTGCTCTTTCTTCTTGTTCTTTTGTCCTCTCTCTTGTTTTCTCTTCTTTTTCTTTCACGGCTTCTTTTTGGTATCTGGTCTCTAAAAAAAAAACAAACCCAAGTCGAACAGCCTTATCCAACTGCTTATTCCAGGCAAAAAGTGAAAAACAAAAAAGTAAAAACAAAAGACAAAAGAGTAGCTACAAAAAGAAAAGAAAGAAACAACAATTACTTCAAAAGTAGTAAAGGTAAATAAAAAAATTAAAAAAAACTAACAAGTAATTCCATTACTTCAATTTGAAAAGATTTTTTCTTGTACAAACTTTCAAGAGACTCACTGTTCAGCTAGTCTTAAAAACAACACTCCCAGTGTGCCTCTCTTTCTTAAACATCACAGTTTCTTATCAGTCCAGCCAACCTTGTCAGGGTCAGCCTTATTCTTGTTTAAGTTATTTAGTTCAATGTCTTTTTTCTAGGGCCTCCAGATGGCGCTGCAGTTTATTTTCAGTCAGCAAAAAGAGAAAAAGTTTTTTAAACTAATTTCCTTCTGTCATTTCTATTTAATTCAATTCAAATTCATTTTAAGTTCATTTAATAATAAAAATACTCAATCAGGCTTTCTATCTTCTCCTATTTCCAAATCAGTTCTTTCAGTTCATTCAATTTTCCCCTTTCCTTGGACCTCCTCACTTTCTTCGCCACTATGATGCTAGAGGCAGAGAGCCGACACAGGCTCACTCTCCCCTCCTCTTTTTGTGTCGCTTCTTTTTACTTTGTGCTAATTCCAGGCGGTTATGAAAGGAACTGTACATATAAAAAGCCAATTTCTCACCCAGATGATCCACTCTGTCTTTTGCTTTCTCGCTTCAGTTGTGGCTGTCCCAGCTTCTTAGCAGCACTTATGGCCACTTTCTCAGCCATCCGGTATGAAAGGCTTCTCCCGATTAGCTAGGGAACTTGCAACTTCCCTGTGTTAGCCAGTCCGTGCCTCTCTTGTTCACTGTCCCTACAGGACAGTTTCGGTCAATAAAGACCCCAAATGGATGAGATATCAATGGTCCCCCAGGAGCTCCCGAAGCACACATGTTTCACCACGATGCTGGCCATGCCCCCGTCCCGAAAATGTGAACTGTATGTAGAAATGTAAAAAAAAAAATAGTCATTTTAATAAATTTAATCTGAAAGTTATTTGACAAAATTAAAAAAAAAATCATTTTATTTGAATTTTGAAAAGGAAGCATTTTTCTTTATTCATCTAAGGCAGGGCTGTCAAACTCCCGGCCTACAGGCCATATGTGTCACATGCTGGCCACACCCATGCCCGGTTTAGCGAAGGCGAAAAAAATCCCAATCATGTGACACCGCCATGACAACATGAGTTTGACACCCCTGATCTAAGGTATTGAACTTTTCCCTCTGTAAAACACAGTTTTGGCATGAAATTTGATTACAAGCTAAATTGAAACAAAAATGTCTATACAGTTTGCTTCCTATGTATTTTAGTGGTATGTGAATTTTGCACTTAAGCATTTGCCTAAAAATAAATTCTGTATTATGATTATTTCTTTTATTTTCTAGTTCAGATGCTGCAATAAAACTATGGAATATTCACAAAGACCTAATAGCTGACATCACACTTGATAATACTTTAAGCACCGCCTGTTTCCTCAATAGTTCTGGTGATATTTTACTGGCTTTCAAAAATGATATTTATATCTTATATCACAGTAAAATGTTACACATTTTGAGAAGTAGTATCCAAACTGCCAGAGTTTCAGAAGCAGGTAACCTTAATTATGATATTAATTGAGTAGTGTTTTTTTTTTAATCAATCTACCCCAACTCTTAATTCAGATGCATACATTACTACATTTAATGAAATTTAAGACTGTCTAATATTGCAGCCTCTTTGTGTCAAGTGATAAGTTGTTCTATGTGTTATTAGGGAATTCGTTATTTGGATTCTCAGATAGCTAAAGAATTTACACAAAAAATGGAGGTAACAACAAATTTTGGGAAATTTACAGAAATATGAACTGCAGAAAAATAATTACATGGAAGGGGAATTAAAAACATGAATAATGTTTGTGCATACCTACTGAACATGGAAGTTATTATACATAGCCTATTTCCAAAGACACCCCCTTACCCCACTTTGACACATAGCCATAAGATTGCAAGCATGGAAACTGTACATATCTCTGGGGGAACTGGAGGAGCTATTTCAGACGGCAAAGCCTCAACAGAGAAGTCGCACTTCCTGAGTCTGCAAGATGACATTTAATTGAAGGCACCTGGATACACCTATTCTCCCTGATTGTCCTGAATGGGAAGAAATAAGTGAAGACAGGTAATCAGGTCCCATGCCATGAAGGGCTTTACAGGTTTTGACCTGCATCTTGAATTGCATTTTGAAGCCAACTGGTAACCAATGCAGTTTGTAAAGCAATGTTGAGACATGGGGATAATGAAAAAAACCCATACTGCCCACACTGCATTTTGAACCAGCTGTTGCTTTGAGATGATCCTCAAGGATAGCCCCATGTAGAACATGTTGCAATTTTGAAGGGACAAGAACATAAATGATCTTTTTGGGAACTCTTCAAAGTTTCTTCAAGGATTACCTGCAAGTCCAGAGGACCCTCAATTACTTGCCTGCATTATTAATACCATTTTTGAATGCGTACTAGTTCAACAAAGCAAGTTATTTGCTGTGAAAATCCCAGTTGGCAAAATTGGGGGTTACCAAAACTCACAAACTAGTTCTTTCTTTATAAGAAGTGTTTCCAAGTGATTCATGCTTAATGCTACCCATCGAAAATATAATATTGCCATTCCACTTTTTTCCTTAGCAAGGGATGCAATAACTATTATTAGGAGAAATGATAGTTCCTTTCATGAGTAAAGTTCATGACACATTTACATATCTTTATAATATGAGCTATGAATAGTGAAGTTATTTGAAATAGTAACTCCTGGTTATGAGCATCTGCAGCAAACCAAGATTACATCAAAATGGTGACATACACCTGGTAATGTCATGATGCAAACCCCCTAGATTCTTTTAGATTCTTGTGTCATTGCAAGTCCTAAGTTGTGGTATTTTATCATGACATCTATTTTGTTACCTGCTCATACCCATGCTTCTGATTAAATGTAACAAAGGAAGGACAAAGTGCTTCATACTATTGAATATGAAAAACTGAACTTATTTAAGGCTGGTCCAAATTTTATTACACGTAACCTATGTCTCCAAGAACTCAAAACGGCACCAGGTTTGGCAGGGTAAGGATTTAAGAAAAACAAATTGTGTTCGCTACTCATTTGAGCAAAGTACAGAAGAATATCAGTAATGCGTAGAAGAAAAACATGATATTATGAAGAGAGAGAAGTTCCCCAATGATGAGCTCCAGCATGAACCCGAAAGCTTGGAAGAATAAACCTTTGTTCCTGGTGACCAGCTCAGATTGGATCCTGCAACATTATCTGGGACATGTTCATTCACAAGAAAAGCAAATTAGGTTTCCTTGTTTAATTCTAATTTTTTTTAAAAAAATTAAGTGTTTTTTTTTAATAAAATACTTTATCATGTAGCGTACAAGTATCTCCATTGTGATCTCTTTTCTAGAATCCTATATTTTTGAAAGCCAGCTTTTAGATTATCAATACAAAATGGATGTCCCTAAATCGATTGAGATGGCTTCATATCTGGTATGTACTCTTTTGATATTACTTTAATCAGCTGAGCACCTGAAACCACACTGAGTATTAAAGTCATAGACCAGTAAACTAAACAGCATTTAATATTAGATGCAAAGTCTGCCACCCTCTGTTAGCTGTACTCTAGCATAATAACACCAAGGGGAAATTCTAGTTGTGGGATTTCTTTAGAATGTAAGTTTAGAATATGGTATTAACAAAAATATTTTTTCTGTATCATGTGTACAAGTATGTTCCTACATGATGTTTTCTGTTTTTTTAAATATTAAGAATTCAGTAGATGCTTAGCTTTATTTCTCATCATATTTCACTTTTCATACAGTGCAAATCACTTAATTCACTGAGAATTCAGTCCTTTACTCACCTTAGCATAAGCCTCATTTCATTAATTAAGAGGCAAAATATACAAGACAGCATTGTAAATCTTATGTATAAAACTTTCTAACACAGATATCAAATAGCTACATTTTCATGTATATTAAAAGTTATAGTGCCATAGGTATATTTACTGTTTTTGTTTGTTTTCTTTTGGTTAGGTGCCTTATAAGGGCTATGCCTTTACTGAAGATTTTACATCAGAGCTGGAGGTTTTGCCAGTGAAGAAAGGAATGGTAAGAATACAAATGGCCTGCAATATAAAGAAAAATGTGCTTCTATCCAGTCTTTATGTAGGCCTACAATATAAAGAAAAATATACTTCTATCCTATCTCTACAAGATTTGGCTAGTGTGATTTAATGAATAAAACTGTGAATGGATGAATTAATTAATGATGGTCTCAAAGCAATCAACTTCTTAAGAGTATAATGTAATTATAAAAGAAACAAAATTATTTCCTATTTTACTAGCTGTTTCTTATTATTTTATTGAAGATAGAAAGGAGTTTCAGGGGGGTGCTTTCTAAGTAGCTTTTGTTTTCTTATTTGTCTCATTAGGTGGCTTTTGTTTAGTCTACCTCAGTGAAGTTCTGAAAATAAACCTATATATATAGAAGGGAAAATCACTCACCCTGTAATCACAAAACCTCCAGAACCGTAAAGCCTACAAACTTGAAATTTGCCTCATATGTTCCTCTTGGCTTCTAGGTGCTCACTAAGAAAGGATTTTTTTTTAAATGACCATCAGAGCATTAGTATTTCCTATATTATTATAACACGCTCTGATGGTAATTAGTTAGACGTTCTACTCCCTCTCCCAACTTGAAAATAACTCTGGAGAGAAGGGGATAGCATAGGACAGGCTTCTGTGGGCCAAGGCTGAGGGAGAGAAGGGGAGAGGAGAGGCCAATCGTTAACTACTCATTAATTTTCAAGCTGTGTCGATTTACCGTATCAAGCCCGATCACATATTTTTGTAGTGAAGCACGGTTATCCAGCTAGTAAATCTATAAATGGAATTCAGAAGGTTTACTTGAAGGAAGGGTGGGATATAAAGTAAAATATAATATCAGAGCTGTTAAATGTTTAATTATTAATCAGTGCAGCGCAACTTTAATAGAGTTGAGAATTAAAGGTCACACTTCTTTGCTTTTGAAGTTGTCATGATTATGTTGTGATGAATATAGCAGGAAAGGAAAAAAGAAAATACTTAAGGTAGCCTACCTTTCTAATAACAATTGCTAATGTATCATTTAGTGAGTCAAATCATAGTTTCTGTAGTGTTTAAAGGGTCCTACAAATAGTGTAAGATATACCCAAATTTGTTTGTATATAATTAATAAGCAATTAATAAAAGAAGTTTGATTTTTTAGCATATTACAATCCCAATTATATCTTTTTTTTCCCCATCTCTTAGGGATTCTGGCAGATACCAGTAGCTCCCTCAATGATATACTTGTCTCCTTGTACCTCAGAGGCATCTTTAAAAATGTTTGATTTCCTTCTCCAAGCTAGAACTCATGACTTAGAAGAACAAGATAAAGCTAAAAGTAATGTTTTTGAGAATTAATACATTTCTGGCATGAGTATAGTACCCATTATTTGAAAGCCATACATTTTCTGTCTTATGAAAACCTATCCCAGACCAACAAGCATACTTTTTGTAGCTTAACAATATCCTCATTTAGTTTGATTGGTGTGCACTAAAAGCTGAATAATGGAGAAAAATTGGGAACTATTATATATTATGATTAAATAATTGCCAGTGAAATGCCCTGGTGCAACACAAAAGGAAAAATCAATTGTACATTTCAACTTGATTATATATGCTTTGTTTTCTTAATCTCATTTATTTGTCCTTCCTATTCCTCCTTTTGCTGCAGTTTGTTTCCACTTTATAGTCTCTTCAGAGCACTATATAGGTGGAAAGATGCGCCCAGCAAGTTAGCTACTTATCACTAACCTGTGGTTCCCAATTCATCGTTTCTGAGTTGTAACAAATTATTGTGGTAGATCTAACAAAAATTGTTATTTCTAATTGTAAGAGGATATCTTGCTTGCTTTGGAAATAAAACAGGACTAGCAAAAGATTTCTGCATATTAAGTAGGACCTCCAAATTTTGTCAAATAAATGGTTGAAACTGTGTAAATTAGTATACTGCACTCCAAATTAGAAACTGAACAATATTTATATGTGTCGAATATTTCCTTTCACATAGTGCAGAGGGAAAGCAAACATCTAAGGTGGACACTGAAGCAGCTGCCATTTTAAGAGATAGAGGGCAGAAATACTATATATTACCTGCCTTTACATTCTGTAGAACACTAGAGGTAGATAATTCAACACTACTTCAAATAAAGAAAGAGAGGATGGAATCAAACAAAACATTAACAATTTACTTTAGTTAAGGAACATTCAGTTTCAGTTTAAACTAGTAAAGCGTGCTTTTTCAGCCACAAATTTCTGATTTAAATGATAGAGACTAAATGTGTCGTCTCAACAGATAAGACAATTTGCTTTATTTCCACAGTGTATGAAAGAATGATTGTGACCAAAGATATGAAATATATGCCTGAGCCAAAACCTGAAACACCAGCAAGGTTGGAAATGCCCTTCTTCGGTGTTTCTCCAACTCCATCTTTTATTCAAGTGCCACTTGAGACAACTAAACAGGAAGAAGAGCAGGTTTTTGTGATATTTTGTATAGTTAATGTTAAAACATTACAGGAACAATTCTTTAAGCAAATAAGCTGCAGCTGAATATTTGTGTACCTTCTCCATTCTAGTTGCCATGTATGATTTTTGTTTGTTTTTATATTAACATATATATTTTATATGTTAAGTGTGATCAGAATTTCTTCAATTCTTCTGGATGATTCATGTTACCTGTGTGGAAAATAAGTTTCTCTCAAATCATCAAAAGACACTGAAGCTTCACACCCATTATTCTAGCAGTGATTTTGCCAGGGTCCTAGGACTGTTATCACATCTTTTATTAGAAAAAGCGAATAGCACATGACAACAACAATACCAATGCCTTTTCCCTACCATTTTGCTTTGCCCAAGCTAGTCATCCATTTCCTGCAGCATTACAGCTGTCAGCAAGAAGAAGATAGAATCCTAAACAGGGAATTCTTTGCAAATTAGTATCATGAACTACAGCTATGTTCAGTTCTGACTTTTCTTCCAGTGGGATTCTTTTCTTTTCTTTCTTTTCCTTCTTTCATTCTCTCTTCAGTTTTCAGCCTATTTACCTTTTTGCTCCCTGAGTTTTTAGTCCAATATTTTCCTTTTCCATTGTTTCTTCTTTTTATCTTTTCCCCTAATTTGCTGTCTCGCTTTTTTCTTCTAGTCCCCTTTCCATTTTCTTTTTACCATTTTCTTGTTCTAATTTTTGAGTTTATTGTATTTTTATTTATTTACTTTATTGCATTTTTATGCTGCCCATCTTCCCTACAAGGTGACTTATTTTCCACCATCTCAAAGCTTTGGAGTTCCATTTTCACTAAGGAGGCAAATTGGGTTAATGTCTTTATTTGTCTGGCAATTTTCTGGAGAGCAAAACATCTCCCTCTGGTTTTCCTTTTATATACAGGTAGTCCTTGACTTACAACCATAATTGAGCCAAAAATTTCTGTTGTTAAGTGAGACATTTGTGAAGCGAGTTTTGCCCCATTTTATGACTTTTCTTACCACAGTTAAGTAAATCACTGCAGTTGCTACGATAGTAATATGATAGTTAAATGAATCTGGCTCCCCCATTGACTTTGCTTGTCAGAAGGTCGCAAAAAGGGATCACATGACCCTGGGACACAGCAATGCTCTTTTTTGTTTTTGTAAAAGTTTATTTATTTTTATATTTTACACAAACAAACAAACAATGCATTTTTTCTGAACAGAGTATTGGCCGAGTCACAAATTTATACAATTTTTAGTTATCTCCAACACAATTTATATATTTCACTTTTTGCCATAATAATCTTTCTCTCTAATTTTTATTTTCTTTTTCTTGTTTCTTCTAATAACCAATATTACCATTCGCCCTAATCTCTAATCTTAATCAAATTTAATTTTCCCTTACTTTCTCCAAGTTAAAACCCTTAAATTCGAAATCAATCATTTTTCTAATAGTTAACCTTAACTCTAAATCATCCTATTCAAATATTTCCCCATTGCATCCTTTTCACAACATAATATAATTTCCGGTATTTCCCTAAATTCCCTTATTCCAATCACAAATATTTTTCTTTGTCAACTTATCCAAATATTACAATCCAATATCTTACTAAAAGTAACTTAAATATATAACATTACAATCATTCATTTCTTTTCCATTGCTTTTTCAAATATATATGTAACCTCTTCTTATTAAGCGATAAACCAACCATCTCATATATTGAACTTATTTGTATTTATAAGTCTTACTTCAGTTTAAACAGAATTAATTTTCAGCTTAATTTCAAATGTTTTAGTTAGTTTCATTGTTACAATTAATACAATTGGGACAAAGCAATGCTCATAAGGATGAACCAGTTGCCAAGCATCTAAATTTTGATCATATGATCATGGGGATGCTGCAAAGATCGTAAGTGTGAAAAATGGTCATAAGTTACATTTTTCAGTGCCCCTGTAAGTTTGAATGGTCATTAAATGAACTGTTGTAAGTCAAGGACTATCTATTTGGGAAACTAAAAAAAAAAAGGGAATTGCTACATAAGCCTCATTAGCTGGATATTATAATATCAAGTTTATGTTACAGTCCTAGGATTGCCAGTATTTTCAGTCTTTCATTTTCAGTGGGTATTGTACTTCATTCATGACATCTAATACTGCTTTATTGTTTTAAAGACAGTTGATAACGTGACTGCATTATCCATAGAGGAGCCATTAAAAGAAACTTCAGATAAAACACAGGAGCAAACTTGTGAAGAAGCTTCTCCAAAAGCAGCAGAAGCAGAAATCATTCCAAAGCAGCCTTATTGTTTGCATAAAAAGACAAAATCAGACCCAAATATTTGTAGATGTGAGTTTTCATTATCTACATGAAATCTCTAAAAATAATAGATATTATTTTGGGAGTCAGTGTTGAATTTTGTGGCCACATAACTGTGCTAACAGACGCATGTCAATATATCTGTTCTTTCCTGAAAAGTAAAAAGATGAGTTTTGGATTGGATGCCAAATATTTAATACATTTCCTTCTGAAATTTGTTTTTGCTTTACAGAGTTAAGGTAAAGAATGTAAGAATGTATTCTAATGCTGTAAGATATAATTCGGATTGAATTCATTGGGATGTCCTTCTAAATAAAACATATCAAAGTAATGCCGTATATCATTACAATAATTGTTATATATAATAGATAGATAGATAGATAGATAGATAGACAGACAGACAGACAGACAGACAGACTGTATAACAAGTGTTCTGTCCCCCGTCCTCACACAGACAAATGCAATATCAAACACACCTGCCAATAATTTATTGTATAAACAGACCAGAATTCCTGGCAGACGAGAGTTCTGGCATCTAACTGTAAAACGCCTGCCCAGTCCAATTAGTACTTCCAAAAAACAGGAGAGGCCTTATCTGCAGTCCGTTTCCAGAGCGACAAATTATCCACAAGAGTTTAGTCCAAAATATATCTGAGCCGAAGTGCAGGATTCACAAAGTGACTCTTTAGAGTTTAAACTTTTGTCTGTCACAAAGCCTGCCGAGCAATCACGCCCCCTTTTATCCCTTGTGGGGCGTGGCTCAGTGACTCAGCTCAATCCCTGGCCCTCCCACACCTCTTCCTTTGCTGCGCACGCTTCTCCCTCTGACGCTGCCTGGGATCAAGCCATCATTATCACTCTCTATCAATGGGTGCTCTGAAATGCCTTCCTCCTGGCCCATCCCAGGCTGTTCCTCCTGGCCTTCGGATGGAACCTGAGGCATTGCCAGAGAGGAGGGTCCTGGAGACGGAGGCCTTGCCAGTTCCTCCCCCTCACCTTCTGAGTCCTCTTCCTCCATGAGGACAGGCTCGGGAGTCGGAGTCACAACAACAAGTGAACTGTGTTCCACTTGTTATATATGTTATACTGCAGCATTTCCCTCTCACTAAAGCAGTTTTGGCACTCCAAAATAGTCTTGAGAAAAGAAGAGGAAGATTTAAAATCCTGCTTAGTCAGAAAAAGAAATTTTAAAACCCTCCAAATCATTAGAATTGAAGCCCCTGTGTTTGTAGGGATTCGTGCTTCATAATTAAAAGCCCATAGCTAGAGCTTGCATGAACAGAAGCATTATCAGAATTGCCAATTTCAGAAACTTCCAGGATCCCTGGACTGGCTCCTTGTTTTTCTGAACTCCATTTAATCATTGACCTTGATATTGTTGCCTCCACATTATCGATGCTCCAATTCAATTGATGCTCTCGTTCAATTCTGTTACTGAATTTCAGTTTGACTCTCATTAGTTTGAAGAACTAACCATTCATAAATAAAGGATTTCTACTGATACCATTTTAAGACTCAAAATTTCCTTTGCCTTTTTATTATGCATGACATATTCAAACATTTTTTAAATATTTCGCCTTCCAATATAAAAGATTATTTGGATTATTGCTGGCAGAATGGGGCATTTTCTACATTTGTCCTATCTATTTTTTCCCTTTTGGAAGGCAAACCTTATTATTCTTGCTATTAGGAAGCTGAGTCACTATCGTGTCCCCTATCTTCAGGCCATGAATTACAAACAAGAAATTACGATGACCAGCTGGATTTACAGACAAATTTGGCCTATGATAGCATGTGTACCAATGGATTGTAGTTCGAAAAGCAACAGAAAAATAACTAACAATAATTTCTTCTATGGACATTTTTTAAGATGTTGCTATTTCCATATACTTGATACCTGCAAATAAAATTATTGCATTAGTTTTCACATTTTATTTTTCTTTTTGGTTAGATACTTACATCTATGAAGGAAAGTTGGAAAAGGATCCTGGAAAAGACAGACTGCCTAGGAGAGAAACGGTATCATCTTACAATATAAAATTACTTTAAAACTTACTGGCTTTAATAGGAGAATAAAACATTTCTGTAACTGTCACTTTAATAAATAAGCATGCTTAATTTGAGTTGTTATTATTATTGTTAAACATTTTTCTGATATGATTTTTCAGTAACTTACTATGAATACTTATTTTCCCAAAGATAAGGAATAATAAATTAGATTTAGTATTTACTGGGAAACTCCTCAGAGTCAGGAAGAAGAGATCAGTGGTGGGTTCCTCCCGGTTCGGTCCGGTTCGGCCGAGCCGGTAGTGGTGACGATATGATGTCACCGAACCGGTTCTCCCCCCTGCCCTCCCACCCCCCCACGTTATTCTTACCTTTTATTTGGTCCCACCCCCAATCTATTGTTGCCTCCTGAGTCCCAGCTGATGACTAGAGGGAAAAAAACTGTTTAAACTCTTGCCGCGGGGCTTCAAAGGGCCATCCTACAGCTGATCAGTGTTAAAAGCAAACAAATTAGTCAGGTCATAAGTGCGAGGACCTTCCAGAATGACTCTGACCAGCTAGCCACACCCACCTAGTCACATGACCTCCAAGCCACACCCACAAAATAAGCCACGCCCACAGAACCGGTAGTAAAAAAATTTAGAACCCACCCCTGGAAGAGATGCACAATGTTTCTAAAGTAAAGACTCAAATAATTAGAAAACAGCAAAGCCTACATCAGGAATAAGGCAAGAGAAGAAAGAGAAGCATCAGAAAAAAAGTAAAACAAGAACAAAAGAGCTACATTTGATCCCTCTGATCATTTTCTTTTTAACTATAGAGCAATCAGCCTTCTCTCTCCTAATGCCATCAAGATGCATGGGGTTAAAACTCCCAAAGTTAATCATGGCATAGGTCAGGAGTGTCAAACTTGAGACCCGTGAGTCAGATCCGGCCTGTAGGCCCGTCCTGGAAACAGCAAAGGACTGGCTCATGGTGCCTATGCCAGCGAAAACAGAGCTGAGGAATGCCACACGCAGGTCTCCTGGGCTCCGTTTCCGGCCACAATGGCCTCCTGCAGCCCTCTGCCAGTGAAAACAGAGCTTGGGAAGGCTGTGTGCAGCCCTCCCAGGCTCCGTTTTCACTGGCAGAGGACTGCAGGAGGCCGTTGTGGCTGGAAACGGAGCCTCAATGAGTGATGTTGAGCTGGCCACACCCACCCTGGCTACGCCCCCCCCAGGTCAAACAAACCCTGATGCGGCCCTCAATGATATTGAGTTTGACACCCTTGGCATAGATCATGGTCTATTTTAATATAACTGGAGAACACTAAGTTGTGTATCATAACACATTTTTGTGTTCAAAAGCATCATGGTAATATTTTATGCAAATCATAACAGAATGTTTATGTCAACATAAATTAATTAGTCTTCAAAGGTCATGGTTAACATTAGTTTTTGTCCTAATTGGATTTCATTGTATTATTCTGTCCTTGCTATGCAGGAAAGGCTGCTTATATTTAAGTTGCTATTGCTTTGCAACTTCATAGAGACAAGAGAATTAAATTAAATTTAAAAAGTTGTGATTGTGTTAACTGGACAGGAAGTGAATTCTTGAAAGATAAATTAAGCTCCCCATGCCCCACCCCCTCAGTCTTAAGAGAAAATCTTCTAAACTAGTATCTTGATTTTTTTAAATATAAAATTCATAGTTATATATACGTGTGTGTGTGTGTATTATATATTATATTATATACATAATGGATCAAAAGCTTGCCTCTAGGATCCATCACGCATGCAGACTACTTCATGCTGCACTTATGCTGTATCATATGCGTGCCTCTGTAGTACTGGATTTGGAGGTTCCTGTATTTCAGAACATTCTTATGAATAGGTTAAATTTACATGGACTAGGAAAGTTAGTTGAGGTTAGGCTACAAAGTGAAGTTAGTATTCTTGGTCCTTAGCTAAGGCTTACCAGGCAGGGGTGAAATGCTACCAGTTCGGACCGGTACTCCCAAACCAGTAGTAAAAAATGCTACCGTTTCGGGTGAACCGGTATTTCCAACAATCAGCTGGCCGACGATCAGCTGTGACGCACGATTTATATTAGCTAGGATTTCCTGTTTTCTAGTTAATCTACATCGCATGGCACAGCGGATTCCCCCCCTCGCTGTTCTACTTACCTTTGCAGACTCGGAAGGCTTCAAAATGTTCCTTTTTTAGTGCTGCATGGGCGCGCCTCAGGTGCGCATGTGCGCGCTCAGTAGCAGACTCACAGAACCGGTAGCAGACTTTAGAGGATTTCACCGCTGTTACCAGGTTGCATGTATTCAATTTCTTTATTAGTATAACCCATGGAATTTAACATTCAGGATTCTTTTTTCTTTCTTTGCTGTATCATTATAAATCAATTAATACCACCAGGGAATTGGGCACAGTTGCGTATATATAGTAAAATAATTTCGATGTTCAATTATGTAAATAGATTATTGGCCACAGCACAAAAACAAATAAGGAATCTATGACTTATTTCATTTTGTAATGATTAGATTTTTGATCCTGGTTATTGTTTGAATGCGGTTAATTAATTAAATGTATTTGCTTCCTAGTATCCTAAGGAGAAGATGCTGTTTGAAGAAAAGATCACATACTCAAGCTTGACAGAAATACAGAAAGGAGTGAAGGTCTTTGAGCTTTATTTTTTCCCCCCCAATACTTATATTTTGACTTCTGGAGGATTTTGCTCTTAGAACATAGCCTAGTTCAAGCCTGAACAAAAATGATTGCTCCTGAGAATCCAGACCTGATGACTGAGTGCTGCATCATTTTCTAGCATTAGCAGCTCTTTTGTGTCTCAAAATAGATACCAACAATTAAGATTATGCTGCTCAGCGCACTTATGTCATGTAACCCAAATATGGCAGCAGAAATGCAAATTTCTAATATAATAATGGAATGATTTTTTTCTCTTCTTTTCCCCAAAGCCACTCTGGTTCTGTCATTATGTCATGATTTACATCTTTTGGGGCCAATTTTCTCAAAGGAAATTTTACAAAAATGTTGCCCCTGCTTATAGTATTTTAAAGGCACAAATGCTGCCATCTGCTGGTGACAAGTGTGTATTTTCTAATTATAACAATGGTTTTGTTGCTTGGCTTTTTAGAACTATTGTCATTAAGTTTCTATCTTGTACTTTTAATATCATTTATTTCTTCTTCTTTTTGTAATTTATATAGCAACCATTTCCCTAGATTATTTGTACATTCAATTTCTTTTAGATTATTTTTACTTCAACTTGTCTCATTAAAATAAAGAACTGCTGATGTAAACGTTCAATTTGTCGTGTAATAGTTTGCTTTTCTGGGAATTTTTTTTAACTTCTCTTTATAATGTTTCTTTTTATAACAATGTTTCATTCAGTCTCCAGCTAAAGAAACTAATTTTCTTTTTGTGCTCTTTTCTGATGTGGCTATGTTAATTGATATTTTATAGTTTTCTATAAACAGTAGTGCTATCTGGGTTGATGTTAAAATCCTTTATCTTACCAAGCTTGAATGAATAAGAAAAAAATTATATATTAATTTTCCATATCCAAATTTGATAAGGCTATGCTGTATTTAAAAAATAAGTATTATATGCCTATATGGAACACTGTCTCCTGTCTCTAGGGCATAGATGTACTTGTTGATAAGGGCAGATGCTTGAAATATATAATTATTCTATTATTTCTATAATTATATTATATGAAATGTTTAGAAACAAGAGCACAAGAAGCATAAGTCAAGGAAGCTAGGCAAAAGAGGAAAAGTTCGTCTCATGAAGAAGTCACTGAACCATAGAAAACCTTTTTCTGCAACAATGGTAATTATTTTTCTATAAATAAATCTGGATTTTTATAAGGGAAATGCTTTTTGACATTATTGTTCTTTTTGCTCTTCTAACTGACCAATTGCTGATCACCCTTGTTTACTATCCACTGATCTCCCCTTATTCCTCTTTTCCATCTCCTTCATTGTTTGTCTACCACAAATTCTCTACAAGGTTTTTAAAAAGCTAACCAAGTGATTAAGTGAATGTTGAAATGTGTGCATTGCATTTGGAGGCCACAAAGAATATTTCAGTAATGTATGGAATTTTGTTCACAGAAAAAAACGTGCCAAACAAATCAACTTTAAGGTATTTCTAAGTGGGACTCAGCCAAATTGCGGATCAGATGCATTCCATGCTACTTATTTATTTAGAATTCACATTTTTAAATTTGCCAATATTTTTTTGACAGCTCTGAGCTTCCCATTCTCAATTTAGATGTCTAGGACAGGGTCTGCTATTATGTTGAAAGCAAAAAACAATGCCTCCTCTATTTTAAAATTAATCTAGCCCTTCTGTTCCATTAGATATACAGGAAAATGCATGAGGAAATAAATAGGACTTCAATAGTCCCTTCCCTTCCCTTCCCTTCCCTTCCCTTCCCTTCCCTTCCCTTCCCTTCCCTTCCCTTCCCTCCCTCCCTCCCTCCCTCCCTCCTTCCTTCCTTCCTTCCTTCCTTCCTTCCTTCCTTCCTTCCTTCCCACCCACTCAATAAACAACTGAAAGCAGGGGTGTCAAAATGGTGGCCTGCGGGCCAGATGCATCATGCACAGGCCATGCTTACCCCAGCTCTGCAAATCGGGAAAATGTTGCAAAACGTCACGTGATGGCAATGTGATGTGGTGAATTTGACACCCGTGATTGAGAGTCTTTCTTAAAAAGAAGTATGAACATCAAAACAGAAAACTAACACATCAATAAAAACATTGCACCAGGGTCAAAGAAATGCCAAATACACACCATATTTTTACATATGGGCAGTGGTGGGATTCAAATAATTTAACAACCAGTTCTCCCAGGGTCAGGTTGGCTGTTGTGGGAGGCGTGGCCCATCCCTGTCCTCCAGCTCCACCGCACATGTGAGACTAGCCTCCCGTGATGGCCAACTTGACCCTGGGCAAATCGGTTGTTAAATTACACCCTCCCCCCAGCTATCAAACTGGATCCTGGGTTGCAATGGAGAAACGGGCAACGGAGTGGCTGGCACGAGGGAAGGAGGAGGAGCAATGAGAAGAAAGAGGGAAAGTGGCAGTGGTGAAATCTTCCCCGATTTGCCACCAGTTTGCTGCCCGCGCTGCGCGCCAAATGCAATGCACACCAAACGCATCCTGTTTGTGCATGTGCAGTGCGCATCAAACACACGCACACACATGCATAGTGTGCACCAAACTCACATTTCACATGGAAAAAGGAGGCTTGGGAAGGTAAATAGAATAGCGAGGGGGGGAACAGCTGTGTCACACGATTTAAATTCACTAGAAAGCAGGATCTCCTGCTTTCTAGCAATTTTAAATTGTGCAGCACAGCTGATCGTCGGAAATACCAGTTCGGAGGAACTAGTAGATTTTTTTTTACTACCGGTTCACCCAAACCGGTAGTTTTTATCACTACCAGTTTGCCCAAACCAGTGCAAACTGGTAGCATTTCATCGCTGGAAAGCAGCCCTCTCCTTCTCTCACGCTACCCACTCGGTTGCCCATTTCCATTGCACCGCAGTGCCCAGGATCCACTTTGATAGTGGGGGGTGGGTAATTTAACAACTGGTTCACTCAAACGGGTGAGAACCAGCTGAATCCCATCACTGCACATGGGAGACCCTCTAATTTAAAAGGGAAGATTGTTCTGCACAATGGACATCACAAAAGAGAATGCCATCTGACTGAAGCCCAGATAAATAAGTATCAATACAGTAGATCACCGCACTGCAGGTAAAGCATTCTTAATAGAACACAATAACCTGAAATGCCTGGATGGGAAGAAGTTTCTGAACTACTTAAAGCTTCATATGGGTAGTCCTTGACTTAGAACCACAGTTGGGACCAAGATTTCCATTGCTAAGTAAAGTGGTTATTAATTAAGTTGCACCCAATTTTACAATCTTCTTTGCTGTGGTTGTTAAGCAAATCATTGCAGTTGTTAAGTGAACCATGCCATTGTTAAGCAAAGCTGGCTTCCCCCATTAACTTTGTCAGACCAGCAATATCACTTAAGCTTATATACCGCTTCACAGTGCTTTACAGCCCTCTCTAAGCGGTTTACAGAGTCAGCATATTGCCCCCAACAATCTGGGCCCTCATTTTACTGACCTCAGAAGGATGGAAGGCTGAGTCAACCTTGAGCCGTTGAGAATCCAACTGCCGCACTGCTGGCCACCAAATTAGCCTGCCCTACTGCATTCTAACCACTACTCCACCACAAATCTGGTTTGGAAGGTTGCAAATGGCAATCACATGACCCTGGGATGCTGCCAGCATTGTAAATATATGCTGGTTGCCAAGTGCCCAACTTTTGATCACATGACCATGTAGATATTTGACAGTTGAAAGTGCAAAGTTTGGTTGTGAGTCACTCTTTTCAATGTCATTGTAGTGACGAACAATTACTAAATAAATGATTGTAAGTCAAGGGCTATCTGTAAATCTGCTGTAACATCTTAAACGAAGCTGCACATTTCTCCTGGCCTTAAGGGCATCCCCAATAAAAGAAAATCCAGCCTTGAAGTTACCAAAGAAGATGACATCTTCCATACCAGGCGGACCTGATAACAGTTATTATTACCAATAGCCGTTGTGTTCTATCTGCATTGTAGCTCTCCGTGTAGAGTTGAAGACGATTGATTGCTTGCCTGGTATGTGCCTACCACGTGTATGTCTGTATATAGAAGACTTGTATATAAACCACTCTTTGTAATGACAAAACCTCTGTGTCCTGTATTTTGCTCCTGGGTTGTCTCAAAATTGTAGTCACGCTGTAAACACTCTGACATATTCATTATTGCTAAAGTGTCTCTGCTTGTAGAATCAAATGATAAGAAATTACTCCTGCACAAAATCTATAAAAGTTGCCATCCCATGATGCTGGTTGAATCTAGATACTGAGTCTTGAGCCCAGATAAACCGAATCCAGATATTTCTCTCTTGGGGTTGGGCTACTACTATGATCTCAAGTCTCCTCTTCCTACGGAGAGAATGGATAAGGGAATTGCAACCAAACAAACTCCAGAAAGCCCTTTTTCTAGAAATGACTGCATAATTGTTTCTTTTGTGGCAATTGACACCACACGACCACAACAATAAAGCATTAAACTATTACTTAAAATTTATTCCTAATTCTTCTCTTTCACACTCCTACCCACACAGTAATTTAATACAAGGAGTGTTCAGGAGATGGTGGGGAACAAATAACTATTTCACCTGTAGTGTCCATTTTGCTACGTTTGTTAAAGAAAAATAAACACCAATTTCTGTTGCTTCCAGGGTTCTGGAAGATCAAGAGACATCACTTGTAACATACGGCCTCGGTCAGCACACTCTGCAACTTACATTGGTAAGATCAGGTATTCCGAAACTAAATCAAATTTGTTTCTGTCAGGTCCAAGTCCAAAGATGACACAGTAAGATCTAATTGAGTCCAATCCTTTCTTTTCTTACACCAAATCATCCACAGTAATGGATAGAATCTTGCTTGTGCAGTCTCTTAATTTTGGCTGTTTTGTGTTGCCATCCCATCTCCCCGCCCCCACTTCTCCAGGTGCACATTCCATCACAGTTTTGTACAGAAAAAATGAAACAAAAAAGGGTGTAACAAATATTTTTCAAAATCAAAGTCACATTAATTTTAACAGCTATTGAATTAAGAATATATTTGAGGGATGTTAATTGTTTCATTCTATGCATTGTGAATTACAGTATAATTCTTATGTATAATATCATGGTTTCTTAAAGATATGCTAAATGGTATAGAATTGTTTCCTTCGTCCCATTGTCTGACTCAGAGGTAAATTTGTACAGTTAAGCACTGGAACCAAAAGAGGACCAAAAATAAGCAATATTTAGTAGCAAGAAGCTCAGGTATTTCATGATCCAAGATAAACTTAATCCAATTGGTGGATCACAGTAGCTTGCATTTAACCTAACTTCAGTAAAGAAGTTCAGCTGATGGATCAGGAAGGCTGGCTGCTTATACATTCAATATATGCTTTCCCACACTTTACATTATCCATTGTGGAGCAACCAGAGCATCAGTTGACTAGGATTTAGGAAATTGATTTTTGGCAGCAGCAAAACTGATTAATCTTAAAAAACTGTGCTCCTTAAAGATTCCCTGGCACAGTTTTGCCCTGATGCCCATCTCTCATTGAGAGAAAGTTTAGTGGAAGATCTATGAGTGCCATTGCTTGGCATAATACTAAATATCACTTTAAGTTCAAATGCCGAATGGTACACGCTGCTCCAGAAATCCAGGCATCCGGAGAAAATCTGTGAAAATCACTGATCTAATGGAAACTTTCTTCAGGGCAAGATGCTTTAAGTCTGTTAATTCCTCTGTACTGAAACACTATAAAATATTTTTGACAGGGAAAGAGGAGCTATAGTGGATAAATATTCAATGGGGTTGGGGATGGTGATGAAGGGAGTAGAAGGCAGGCGTGAAATGTAAAATTTGTTACTACCGGTTCTGTGGGCATGGCTTGGGGGAGGGGTGTAATGTGACGGTGGGCGTGGCCAACTTTTTTTTTTTAACTTTTCAAAGCATTTTTTCTAATGCTTTGAAAAGCCTCTGCCGATCAGGCAACTCAGCTGGGATCGTCAGAGACTTTTCAAAGCATTTTTTTTACCATCTCTTCGGCCAATAGGTTGCAGAAAAAAATGCTTTGAAAAGCCTCTGATGATCCCAGCTGAGCCGCGTGATCATCAGAGGCTTTTTTTTTAACTTTTAAAAGCATTTTTTCATCAGAAGAGGTTGTAGAAAAAATGCTTTTAAAAGTAAAAAAAAAAAAAAGCCTCTGATGATCGTGCGGCTCAGCTGGGCATAGGTGGGGGGGTGGGCGCAGGGATTTTTGCTACTGGTTCTCCGAACCACCTGCCGCCATTGCTACCAGATCGGGCAATCCGGTCCAAACCGGGAGCATTTCACCCCTGGTAGAAGGGTAACAGTAGTTAAGCCATGCAAGGTAGCAATCACCAGATAAAAACTGGCCTCTCTGAGAAAATACTTTCATTGCAGTTACCTTAAACAGCCAGAGTGTGGAGTACAAACTGCACAAACTGTTTTGGAAATGGGAAGTTAGTTCTTACATATTAGCTACCATTATGTGAAATGGTCCTTCTCTCTCAAACAGAAACATGATTGTCTGGAAAAGGTAGCTATATTTTCTTGCTGAATGAATCTGTAGTGAAAAGATTCTATAAACATCCTCAGAGTGAATTTTCTAATCTGCCTTTCTTAAGGCAATGTTAAGGCCTCTATGATCTAATAGAATAGATTCTTCTTTGGAAGAAAGTCCTAATTCTCATGATGTAGGCCACATCTAAAATTAGGTTTATACCAGTTGTAGCACTAAATGGTAGTTGCTTTAAAATCACCATCGCCAAGCAGTTTATATAACACAATTGCCTAATCCAGTAGCACCCTTATAATTGGCTACTAAAACAAAATTAACCATAGGACTTTTCTGTAACATTTGCGCACTGAGATTCCACAGTCAGTATTCCTTTATCACTGTTGTAGAGACTCATATCCTAAATATGGTAAGAATGTTATATATTAAAAGAAATGAGAAACAAGGAAATATGATTCTGATAAAAGCAGAAAGAAAGAACAATGCAACATTGATTTTGTTCTATTTAAAGCATTAATGTTACCTCTTTCCTGTTGGGAGTTAAAGGCAGCTAAGAACAGAAATGGTAATTTTTCTAAAAAGTCCTTGCAATTAAAAGGAACATTAAAAATCAAAATACAAAACTAATCAGTAGGAAATTACTAAAAGGATTAAAGCATACTCTTGACTGATTATAGTAGCATGTTAAAATTACTTGTTGAATAACTTGCTATAAAGAAAGTCTTCAACTTCATTTAGAAGATCTTTCATAAAATGGACATTCTAAAGGTGGTGTGTACAGATTCTAAGTGCCAATGCTTTCTCTAGTACTAGCTGAGATTTTCTTCAGGTTGGTGGATATAATGTATGAAAAACTTCGGTATTCACACTTAACAAGTAGGTACCCAGGAGGTATTTATGATTAACTATCACACTGACACACATTCAGTGACATTGTTTGTACTATTGTGATGTAATATAATGTGTCTCATATTTATAAAATATTAAAATCTTTTAAACCTCCAGTTTGTCAGAAACATCTACAGGTAAAGCAATTGAAGTGTACTAAAATTGAAGTAAGGGGGTTTTTTTTCCCAAAAAAATTGAGGCTACATTTTTATTAGATTAATTACCATTTTCTGAAGGTTGGTGATTTATTTAGCACTTTGTGAACCCACTCTTTCAGAACTTATTATAGAATAACTCATTGGAGCTGACCGCATCTCTGTTAAACTGATGGCATTCTCTGTGATTAACATAAGGTGGAATAGTTTAAACTGTGCTGTGGGCAGCCCATTTACTTGCTATACTAATAATTAAATATAAAAGTTTTCTATCAACCAAATCAAAATTAGTTATACTATTGGCTTGGGCTTCTATAAGTAAAACGCCAAGGAGTTATGCAGGATCTCATATTGCTATCCTTTTATTGTAAATATTTCTAAATAGTAAAGTTATTTTATTAAGGTAAAGTACAAAAGATTATATAATTATATAAACCTGGCTAGAAAGAATATGCATATATATATATATATAGTGAAATCAGTGGAAAATGCAGGATTTCATTCTACCACGGGGACTTTTTATTATCTTATAAAAAAAACACTACTAAATAAATATTGCTTAAGTTACCTTAAGTTGCTTAAGTTACCTCATTTTGTTATCAACTCAAACTAGTCAGGAAATATAGCCAGATATGTTAAAACTTCTCACTATGTGTGTATTTTGCACACTACAAATTCAGTTCTTCAAGAGATATGCTAATATGTCTGAATAATATAGAAATGTCAACAGTAATGCTCAACTAGCTTTTAAAAATCTTTATTATGTTTTATCCTTATTTTGCCAACAGGACTGGACTAGCCTTCCTGCACTTTATAAAGATGTCAAATTCAACTTCTTTTGAGAGATTTTTAAATTATTATTTTGTTCTGGTGTTGTAAAAATATGACTTTGCAGATGTCTACATTCCATTATATATTCTGCTCTAGAGATATTTCTATAATATTATTCTATAAGTAAGAACCCCAAATGGGAAGATAAATTAGCAGAAGAGGAATGTGAGTCTATACCGGTATTTCTCATTTTTATAACAAGTATTGTCCTGCTTAAAAGAATAGAATAAGAAAAGCTTATAACAACAGAAAGGAAGGATGTAGTGCCATGATGGCAAACCTATGGCACGCGTGCCAGAGGTGGCATTCAGAACCCTCTCTGATGGCACGCGAGCCATCACCCCAGTTCAGCTCCGTCATGCATATGTGCATGCCTCCGGCTGGCCAGCTGGCCTTCAGATCTCTGCCATGCATGCATGGGGGCTGTGCACGAATGCGGAGGGAGGGCAACATGTGGGAGGTACGTGCGCATGCATGGGGGGGCAGGTGCATGCATGAGCTGCATGTGCATGCACAGGGGCAGGGTGCGTGCAGGGGGCCCTGCACATGTGCGGGGGGCCACATGCACAGGGGTTGTGCACACATTGCATTTGGGGAGTTCGGGTGCACATGCACATATTTGCCCGTGCGCGCTTTGCGCACTCAGTCCAGAAAAGGTTAGTCATCACTGATGTAGTGGAATTGATTGGTAATCATGCTTCTGTTGTTATTAGCTAGGGAGGTTTAAAAATATTGACTTGCCTAGGATTAACCTAAATTATTAGTGTCAAGGCCAAACTACAGCCATAGTTTTTATTTTAGCCAATTTTAGACTTGAGGTAAGGCAGAGTCCCTGAAATTAGTGGCTTCAGCTAGACTCTGAATGCAGATGACAAATGGCCTTGCTCTTTTGATCTATTTTGATCCAAAGACCAGGCTTCTAGTACTTTGAACAGTACTGATTGATCTAGAAGCTTCCCCTGCGGTTTGCCATAGGAATGGTGTTAAAAATCCTATCTAAAGAAAACTCTAGAGCACAGGTGTCAAACTCGCAACATCACGCTGCTATCATGTGACGTTTCATGATATTTTCCCCCTTTGTGGAGCTGGAGTGGGGATGGCCTGCTTGTGACTCATCTGGCCCATAGGCCGCCAGTTTGCCATCCCTGTAGAGCATAGACAAGAGGCATGCATAGTTCATATTAGCTCACTGGTTCACTGGACCTGTAATCTGAATTTTCTAGTTTAAGTCTTGCACATCATAAGGTTCTTTTCATGTTGGGCGTCTAGTTTTTCAATATCCATGGAATGGAATATTGTATGGCATCTTCTAGGTTTATTATGAAAGGACAGAAAATGAAGAATTTTACCATGCTGGAAGCATTTGGATTCTCACTGGATGTACCCATCTCTATACAATAAAAACGAGAGTGGTTGAGCAAAAGAAGAGAGTACTCTAACTTAATCCCCACAGGTTTCTGAACACATGGCTGCATTTGTGTATGGCTAAAGATAAGTCTGATAAGGATATTCAGGTGTAGCCAAGTGACTAAAGCTACAAAGATCAAAATGGTGCAAACAGTGGTATTCCCTGTGACACTCTATGGAAGCAAAAATTGGAATTCAAAAAAGCAACACCAGAAGATTACTGACACTGGTGAACTTTGGTGTTGGAGGGGTTGCCTGACAATACCATGAATAGGCAAGAATAGCAAACAAATGAATAATCACACAAAGCAACCTAAATTGGTCCCTAAGAGTTGACACAACCTGGCATATAATAAAAGATGGGTCAATTTTAGGATTGGTTATCTAAGATCCAGTGAATTCAATACACTTTAATCTAGTCATGACTAATCTGTATTCCATTTTGTTTTATTATACATATATTTGACAATACTGTGGACTGAATAACCCTTAACAAATGTAGGAAGCACTCTAAAATATCTCACTAATAAGCCTGCAAGTTTCTTGAGATCTAATCTAAAGCTTGTTTCTTGAGATCTCTTATCTACATAACCACACTGCACCTTAACCTGATTCTTATGCCATGTTGATGCTACCTGGTTTTTAAACTTGGTTTAAGAAACTTCAATGAAGATTGAGGTGCTTCAGAAGATATTCAGTCTGGGCTGACAGTACAAACTCTCCTGGAAGTTTCCCCCACAGCTGTGGCTCCTAAATTACCATGCCAGAAGAGCAGTTGTCAATCACTTTCTGTTGTATGGGTTGTGCTGACAGGATATACCCGTGTTTCCCCAAAAATAAGACCCTCTGTTATATTTTTTTGCCACCAGGTCTTATTTTCGGGTGGGAATGTATCCACTGAGTCACTTACATGCATCACCCCGGCCTCCTTTTCGCTGCCAGAGGCCTTCAAGAACTTCTTCTGTGGCCGGCAAGGCTTTCTTGATAACAGAGCTCTGGATCAATCCGGAGCTCTGTTATCAGCTGCAAAGGCCTTTAGGAAAGCCTTGCAGGCCTTGCCGGCTGCAGAAGAAATTAGCCGGCAAGGCAAGTGTTTGGGTGTGCGAGGCCTGGCTGCAACTGTCTGAAGGTAAGTAGTATGGCAGCTCCACCACCACCCCGCATCCCCACCCTAGCTTAATTTTTACCCATGCACCCTGGAGTGGGCGGGGTCTTAATTAGGGCTTGTTTTGTGGGCTAGAGCTTATATTGGGCAGATATGTAAAAATCAAGCTAGGACTTACTTTCGGGGTAGATCGTATTTTTGGGGAAACACGGTATATATGTTCTTACATCAGGGGTGAAATCCAGCAGGTTCTGACAAGTTCTGGAGAACCGGTAGCAGAAATTTTGAGTAGTTCGGAGAACCGGCAAATACCACCTCTGGCTCGGCCCAGAGTGGGTGGGAATGGGGATTTTGCAATATCCTTCCCCTGCCATGCCCACCAAGCCACACCACGCCCACCAAACCATGCCCACAGGAACCGGTAGTAAAAAATTTGGATTTCACCAAATTTTACATGTCTTACATGTGTGTGTATGTATTAATGTATGTCTCCAGATAGATATAAAAATATATGCCTAAAAAATTCTAATACAAACTTAAAAGTAAAAATTGTCATATAGGAAAGCACAACAAATTATCACCTTTAAAATAAAACTTCTTTTCTTGAATGTTCCCAGCTTTGCCTCAATGTGCTCTGCAGTTTCTATTAAAGATACTAGGTTTTTTTAGCATAAACATTATTAAGGATTAAACAGATAAGACAAATACAAACACCTAATACAGTTAGTCTTCAATTTACAACAACAATTCGGACCAGAATGTCAATTGCTAAGCAAGGTAGTTGTTAAGTTAATCATGCCCAATTTTATGGACTTTTTTTTGCCATAGATGTTAAGTGAATTAGTGCAGCTGTTACGTGAATCACCAGTCATTAAACGAATCCAGCTTCCCCCATTAACTTGTTGGAAAGCAACTGAGAAGGTCACAAATGGTAATCACATGACCCTAGGATGCTACAATTCTCAAAAATGAATGCTGGTGGCCAAAGCGCCCTAATTTTGTCATCTGACTGGGAATACTGCAACAGTCATAAGCATGAGGAATGGTTGTAAGTCAGTTTTTTTCAGTGCCATTTCAGTGCCACTGTAACTTTGAGTGGTTACTAAATGAATGGTTGTAAATTGAGGACTACCGATCCAAAAATACATAAAAGAAGAAAATATTTAGAAATTTCAGAACAGATACAATCCCACCCCAAAATACTGTACTATACTACTATACTATATTACTATATAGAATATACTCTGTGTGTGTATGTGTGTGTGTGTGTGTGTGTGTGTGTGTGTGTGTGTGTGTTGTATATATATATATATATATATATATATATATATATATATATATATATATATATATATATTATATTTGTTTTCTCAGGTTTTCGCGGGTGTTTGTATGTAGGTCTTTGGTTATTCGGGTCTTCTCCCACATAAAATTGGAAGTGTCTTGGCGACGTTTCGACGAAGTCTCATTCGTCATCTTCAGGCTGGTGTTCTCGGCTTCGTGCTTCCAGGAGCAATGTGAGATCGCAGCTGTCTCTTCCTTTTAACTCCTAGCAGTTAAAAGGAAGAAACAGCTGCGATCTCACATTGCTCCTGGAAGCACAAAACCGAGAACACCAGCCGAGAACACCAGCCTGAAGATGACGAATGAGACTTCGTCGAAACGTCGCCAAGACACTTCCAATTTTACGTGGGAGAAGACCCGAATAACCAAAGACCTACATATATATATATATATATATATATAATATATATATATATATTATATATATATATATATATATATATATATATTATACACACACACATACATACATATATATATATTTGTGTGTGTGTGTGTGTGTGTGTGTGTATAGCGGTTCTGTGGGCGTGGTTTGGTGGGGGGGTTAATGTGACTGAGTGGGCGTGGCCAACTTTCTTCTTTTTTTTACTTTTAAAAGCATTTTTTCAACAACCTTAAGAGGTTGCAGAAAAAAATACTTTTAAAAGCCTCTGACAATCCCAGATGAGCCATACGATCACCAGAGGCTTTTTTTTTTAACTTTTAAAAGCATTTTTTTGGCCAAAGAGGTTGTAGAAACAACCTCTTTGTTGTTTCTACAAAACATGGGGGGGGGAGGCATGCAGGGATTTTTGCTACTGGTTCTCCAAACCACCCACTGCCATCGCTACTGGATCTGGCGATCCAGTCCGAACCGGGAGCATTTCACCCCTGGTATACAGTATATAGAATTTTTTATACCTCACTTCATTTTCTATATACCCATCTCTAAATCTTCAGTTAAAGGTCTTTCTCAATAGTATAATAGTTATAACTTTTACCTGAGAGGCAGAACTTCACTAGTTTGAAATCTCTTTGCTTGTGTTTTTTTTTGGGGTTCCTTTTTATTGTTTGTTATTTTTCTTTTCCTGAGCTATGTATTTTACTCCTTTTTTTAAAAAAAAAATCAGACTTGTGACTTCATCCTTGAAAAGCAATGAAAGGATGTAAGGTGGACCATTTTTTAAAGTAAAAAATGACTAAAATGCATTATGCAAGGGAAAATTTTTTTTTTAAATGTCTGCTGTGGTTCAGACTGGAAATGTTATGCATCTCAAGCATCATGAGTATGGTTGTAGAAAAAAACCCTGTGACTGAAGCTGCAGCAGACCTTATTGGGGTCAAGGATGGCAAGTGAGGAGGAGACATTTTTATTCAAACAGCTAACGTGTAGTGCACTAGATAGTCCAGAAAACAAATTTTTCCATTGAAACAGGAAAGCATAGGCAAGATGGGTGAATAGGAGACAATACTGTCTATTTCTGTCTTCCAGAAAGAGTTTGTGGCCCACAATTATGATGGGGCAACCTGACACTGCAGGTACACTCTGGGTTTGCATTCAACCTAAGGAAACTTCAGATGCATAATAAATAAATTCCTAAGCAGAATGTTCAGATAGATAGCATGAAATTTCAATTTAGGACTAACAAATAAACATAATATTACATTCTAATATTTGTTTGTTTTTTTGTATTAGGACAAAAAATATTCCCTGCCCTTGGACCTCAGGTATGACATACTTAGCATGAATGTAACATTTAAAAGAAATTGATGTCATATTCAAATATTTGTGTATTGGATGTTATACTTTGAAACATTGGGACATTTGGGAGAAGGTTAACAATGCTTGGATACTGGTGATCTTTGAGCAAGTTTTCTTTTTACAATGACTAATCTAGGTAAAATTGTCAATATTTTAACAGAAGAGCTGGCATTTGTGACTGGCTTTTTATGTTTGACAGTTTGTCCTGTTTGCACTGATCAGAAATATAGTTTGTATAGTCTGTTTCTCATTGACCTACCAGCTTGGTCCATTGTTGTTGTTGTTTTTCATTTTAGATTGTTCCTAACTTAAGCATTCATGTTCCACTGGTAGTAAATTATTCCAGTAGTGATTGCTAAAATAGAGAATTCATTCTCTAAAATTATTGGAAATGTAATAATCAGGTCAGATCATTTTTTTTTTCTTAATGAAATGACAATATTTTAAAGCCCAACAGTTTCAGAAAATTATCTATAAAAGAATGACACACATTTTAAATGTTGAACGCTACATATTCTATAAAGTATACCAAGCTGGCTTTGTATAGGTTTACAGCTGCTAAGGTACTTCGTGCTTTTCACTAGTAATTAGATATAACGAGTCCTGTAAAATATGGTAAATTACACGGTGGGAATGTTCAATGTCAAAAATAACCTTGTGTTTTAAAAATAAATTGGATAAAGAATTCAGTGTGATTTGGAAACCAGTCCTGAATTATAATTCCACGTGGGTTTGTACTGCATCCAAAATTCAGTTCTTCTTTCTTAAGCTTTTGACAGGTATGTTTCTTTCTGATTTGTGAAGTATAGATTTTTGATTAGGCAAAATTCATTACAATCTTTCATTTTGCTTATAATTTAGACAATATGATTATTGCATATTATTTTGATTACTCTGAAGTTTTAAATGGGCATCCTGTATATTTCAGTATATAGAATAAAACCAGTCTTGCTTTGACATTTTTATTTTATCCTTCTAGACCTCTTTCTTAATTACTTTCTGCTTTTCCTGTTTTCCTGTTTGTTCTTCATTATGTTTTAAAATATTTAATAACATTTTAAAAAGATAATAAAATCTCTTCAGAAAATAACTGACATATCTATATATTTATATTCTAAACCTTAACTCAGATTTCATTTAGTATTTTTCTCTGCTTTAGGCATATTCACCTACTGAAAAAAGGTTTGTATAACGGAAAGAAAATATTGGGATATTGCAAATAATGTAAATAGATGAAATAGTAGGTGATCAAATCTCTTACTTCCTCAAACTTTGCTGTTTCTGGAAAAGTCTTTGGGGAGATATTCATTGGAAGCCTCTTATTTGTGTTTATTCCTATTGAAAAATGAATTAAAAGGACCGCCTACTACCACAAGCAGCCTCCCACCGGCCGGTACGCTCTCATAGAGAGGGGCTCCTCCAGGTGCCGTCAACTAAGCAATGTCGACTGGCGGCCCCAGGGGAAGGGCCTTCTCTGTGGGGGCACCCACTATCTGGAACAAGCTCCCCCCAGAGATACGGAGGATCCCGGATCTGCACACTTTCCTCCGTGCTCTTAAGACTCTCCTATTCCAGCAAGCCGGCCTGGCCTAATTTTCTCCCCTGTTTTAAAATTCTTTTAAATCGAAATTTTAATCTGTTTTAAATTATTGGGATTTTTAATTGTCTCGGGCTAAATTATTTAATCTGGTTTTAATTATGTCTTTTAACTTTTGTATCTATGTATTTTATTTTGTGCCTGTTCACCGCCCTGAGTCCTGAGTAGGGCGGTATATAAATCTAATAAACAAACAAATAAAACAAAAGAATTGGCATGACAAGAATTAGGGAAAGCATCATTCATTCATTCATTCATTCATTCATTCATTCATTCATTCATTCAACATGTATTTATTTAACAATATTTTATGGCCACTCATCTTAACCAATATTACAAGCAAAGGCATAAAAACACAAAGAAAAATCAGAAACCAGATAGTTGAGGTATCCTTTTTTTAAAAAATCCTGTAGCACATAAAAGCTCACACATACTAGGCTCCGCTACAATTCTGTTTCCACAAACAGGGGAGGAGCTAGAACTTCATGGCCTTCTAGAATTTCAGGAGGTTAGGACCATACAAATTTCAGGGGGAAAATTGTTTCACAAGGCAAGTGCCATAACAGAGAAGGGGTCCTGGGTCCTACCAGATAACATTGTTTTACAGAAAGGAACCTGAGAGTGCCGACCCTGTCAGATCCTAGTACAATAGACAGAAATATTCAGACACAGGCAATCTTGCAATTAACCTGGTTCCATGCTGTGTAGGGCTTTAAGTGACAACCAGCATTTTGAATTGCACCCGGAAGCCTACTGAGAATCAATATAGCTCTCATAGAGGTGATATTACCTGGGTACACTATGGTATGCCAAAACTTCCATGTTCTGTCACATTGTGGATTAGCTGAGTGGTAGCCCCAGATAGATGACATTGCAGTAGTCTTGCATGTAGAGGACTAAGGCATGAGTAACTGAACAGTCCTTTCCAGTCCAGGAACAGGCACAAGTGGTACACATTGATTTATACAAAGACCTCCTGACCATGGCTGTCCTTACTGTTCAAGAGCTGTGGGTCTCAGAGGACCTTCAGATTAACACAGCCACAGTTAATGATGGAAGGTTTCCAGATATCTGAGGAGTGGGGTGGCTAAAACTCCTAACCTCTCAGTCTTGTTAGGTTCAGTCAAATCTGTCCAGGATCACACAATCTTAAGGCATGGGGAAACGCCTTCCAAGGCATCACTCAGACTGTCCAGGTGCAGATGTAACTTGGTATCATCAATTGATGATGCTAAACCTGGTGCTTCCAGATTACGTTTACCAGTGATTGCTTTAAATGAGAGTAGAGAGAAGGTTGAATCCTGCCGCATCCCACAGAACAGAAGACAAGGACTAGGCCTCCCCCCCTCACACACACACCAAATTGTGTATTGTCTATCTTATTGAATTTTCAGTGGTTATCATGTCAAGTTAATAAAGTTATACAGGTTTGATTTAGAACTTAAATAAAATTTTTCTGTAATCCATACTGGACAAAAAGTTTCTAAACCCCCAGAGAAAGGAGAAACTGGCTTTCATTTCTACTGTTCTAGCCAAACTCATTGTGGTTCTTGGTTTTTCCTGTCAAGTGTCTTGGTGCAGTGGCTCTGGGTCTGCTTTTTTTTTTTTTTTTGCAGTGGTCTCTGTTTGAAATGATTTTGTCACATATATGGCTTTTGAGTTTATAGTTATTCCACTATAAATGCAATTTTCTTGGTATTTTATACTATGTTAAAATTATTGTATTGGCCTCGGAATTTATTAATGGCAGACATTTCTTGGCATTTTTGACACACTCTTTGTGAAGTTTAGAAAACCTTTGATGTTAAATGAAACATACACATATTTTGTGGTAGCTATTATGATAATACTGAATTACTTGCAGACCAATGAAATCGTGCTGTTTAATACATTTAAAGTATTTAAGTTTAAAATGCAATGAGATACACACACACACATACAGGGTACACACACATACACACACACACGTTATAACTGGAAAATCGTGTTGAAGAAAAAGGTCCCTTGTATAGTTTATTAGTCCATTTTGCAAACTGTAGATTTGCTTTTTGATCTCCCTTAGCTGACTACCGTCCTAATAGTTCAAAATTATTATTATTATTTTTTGTAGGCCATTTTCAAGAAAGAAAACAGAACAGTGCAATGAAGGCTATAAATCCTCTAATGAAAAAGATATAAGGTACCCTTGTTATAAAACATATAAAGTGCCATTAATAACAATCACTGTTATTAATAATTAGATTTTCTCTTCTAGGATATGTTCAGTATAATTTATCCTAAATCATATAGCACATTAAAGAACAAATTCACAACCTAATACCGTAGTAACTAATCAAGCTAATAATAACTATAAAAATAAGCTGCCAATGTCATATCCAATGTTTCCTCTAATTTCTGATATGCTATGTGTGTCATATAATTGTACAAGTACAAACAGCACCTACCAGTAGTGGGTTTCACTTATCTTCACTACTGGTTCGGAACTGTGAGCTCGCGCATGGTGCAGAGCGTCCATGATGATGTCTGGGCAGCTGGGTAGAGTCTTCCGCTGCTGCTGCTACCGGTTCACCTGAACCGGGGCGAACCGGTAGAAACCCACCACTGGCACCTACCCCAAGATCTCCTGTTAAGCCAGAGCTTAGTTAAACTGAAGCGTTCCAAGGTAGCAAGCTAGTGCAGACTCATTTTCTGGAGTTTTATAGCAGCTAAAACTAATATTATTATTTTGGGAGAACTTAATATTGTGTATTCTCAACTTTTTCCTGAGTTTGTGCGGGTAGGATGAGAAATGAATGTATGTATACTTTCAAGACATCAAATGTCCTTTACATATGTGTAGCAGTAATGAGTTGTGTATAGTTTTTTGGGAAGACAAAGGCTATTGATAGTTATGACCTCCAAAATTTATACTCATCATTACAGTACATTTGTTATTGAAGGTATATATTATGGCCTTTTTGTTTTATGACTGTGAAAGTAAATTTTAAAAAAATCTAATTCCTAATATTGATTACTAAAAGGTTTGCTTGTAGTAGCAAAGCTCATAATAAATCTTTATTATAGCCCATTTGCAGGATCAGAAATCTTAAATGAACGATAGTCTAGAAAAATATAGATAAAATTCTGAGCTATTTATATCATGCCTTTTGTTTAGAGTGGTTTTCTTGAGGAAAGAAAATGAACGAATCCAGCAAGTGGAAGAACAAAGTTTGATACAAGAATTTGAAAGAAGATCATTTTCTCACAGATACTGTTTCACACCTAACAACTCTCAGCAATGTAAGGTTGATTATTTAATTAGCATAACAGGGCTAAATAAAGGGTTAGACCAGGAATCCAAAAAACATTCTGGAAAAAGATGAGAAGGCAAATCTTATCCACTTCATTGCCTGGTGAATTGCATCATGTGTTTAGGTCATCAGAATTGAGCTCAAGTTAAAAGATATTTTATATTTAAATGCAAAATTGCACCAAAAGGAATGACTCCTCCCTTTTTCCTAATGCTGACGTAGTAGCATTATTTTCTTAGTAAAACTATTTATAATGATCAGCATGAGTTTAAGGCATAATCAACCAAAAGTGAAATCATGAATTAGATTGAGGTGATGCTAAAGGATGAACAACACCAACAAAATTTTAATTGAATGTTTTTTCAAAGTCCTATTCTCAATTTTTCTTGTTGCTTAATGCTAGGCCACACAAAAACAATCAAAATTAGAAGTTATGACTCATTAAGTGTCAGCATGCCCTTAACTTAATTTATTTGCAGATGGCTTCTGCTCTAAATGACAACTAGGTTGAGCATATGGTTTACATGAGGCATGCAATTCTTCCATTCTACGTAATTACTGGCCACTTAAAGCCCAGTATACACCCTTTCCAGCACAACAGATGACATCAATAGAATATATTTTCCAACTAAAATAAACACTTCTTCCCTGGTATAATTTTAGTTATGCCACAATGTACCACAAAAGAGCGGTCCATGTTATTTCATTGATATCATTTAAATGTATGTATAACTTGAACCTCTGAAGTAGACTCCTTATGTTCATTGAGTAGCAAATTTATAAGTTTAGGCTACAAATGAATATTTAAACATGAGCAAAATAGTAGATAACTTACCTTTAACATATGCCTTTATAATTTGTCTTAGAAATCCAACTAACCAATGTTATCAACATGATGATGATTGTGTGCTTTGAGGTTGCAAACAGTCGGAATATTTTGTAACTGGTATAATGTTTATTTTTTACATGAAGACAAGCTAATTCTCCATGATTTCAAATTCTGCACTATTATGTTTTATTTAAATGTGATGCCTTCAGGCAACAAATGCTTAGCCATAGAACATTCTGGTGTTCCTGACACCTAGTTAAGACTAAATGCTGGACAAATATGTACCTTATGAAGTTCTTTTGTCTGTCATCTTTAAACTAGGTCCAAAAAATCTCCCTATTGACAGGATATCTTTGTTAATAGGTGTATGTTATGACTGTGCTGTTTGAGGTCAACTGATCTAGCACAGATGAGACCTATTATATAATTGCTGCCAACTCTGAAGTGAACCTGGCTGAAGCCATCTTGTGTTGCCTCGTAGTTGCCACAAAGCCTGAGAGGAGGAAGGGAGGGGGGAAGTAGATAGCCCGCCTAATAGTCAAAATAAATAGTTTTCCTGTGGGAACCAAGGTCATTGAAACAGGTGGCTAGTGAGGGAGGAAAGGAGCCTGCCAGCTCTATTCATTGGACAATGTGACCGGTGACACCTGGTGGGGGGGAGTTTTACTCTTGTGAAAACTGCAGGAACCTTTAGAGTTGGTTTTCACCAGCTGTGCCGATATGATGTATCCAATAAACATATTCTTTGAGGAATCTACCTGCCTTGGAATTCTTCTTTCAATGGATGTGTTACTTGGAATGCTGATAATTGCTTTTTATGATCTGTCAAATACAGTAGGTCCAAAACTGCATAATTCACCAGCTTGCCTCTTTAAGGCTAATTTAATTAATAAATGAATTAATGCCATTTTAACATAGTTTGTACTTGTTAGAATTCATTTATAAAATTAGTTTGGTGGGGTTTTCTTTATTAAAATGTTTCTAGAAAGTGAAAAACATAATAAAACAAAGACAATGGAACTATACAAGATTCCTTAAATATTTTGAAAACATTACAAAGGGCTTTGCATGCATTTCCTGATGCATTAGCTGGCATTTATTTGGAAGAACATCACTTTTCTAGATAAATAGATATCTCATGATATAGATATTAATACTTATATCCCTCTGGATAATTTTCACTTGGGATATAGAATCAATCCCACATTGATCATAATTGACTTCTAGCAAGACCGGGACAGGGGAAGTGCAACTCTCTTGGTCTTGCTTGATCTTTCACAGCCTTCCATAACATTAATCATAGTTTTGTTCTAAACTCACTGCAAGTAATGAGAGTGGGAGGGATTGATTTTCAGTGCTTTCCCACCTTCTTGAATGTGTGGTTCCAGTCAGTAGTGATGAGGAAAAAGAAGTTCAAGGATCATGGACCTCTATTGTGGGGTTCTACAATGTTGGACAATTTCTCTCTTCCTATTTAACATGAATATGAAGCCACAGAGTGAAGTCATCAATTGCTGCACACTATACTGTGTACAGTACTTATATCATAAGTATACAGTGTATGATAATCAGTTCTATGTCTCAATTGCTGGCCAAACAGGAGATTTATTTATTTATTTGTTTGTTTGTTTGTTTGTTTGTTTGTTTGTTTGTTTGTTTGTTCGATTTATATGCTGCCCATTCTCCGGAGACTCAGGGCGGCTTACAATGCATTAAGCAATAGCCTTCATACTTTTTGTATATACCTGCTTAGTAGGGCTTTTTGCCCCCCCCCCCCAAGCGGTGTTCTATTTTATACAAAGTCAGCTTATTGCCCCCACAAACCGGGTCCTCATTTTATCTACCTCGGAAGGATGGAAGGCTGAGTCAACCTTGAGCCTGTGAGAATTGAACTCGCAGTAATTGCAGGCAGCTGGCAGCTAAGTGCTACTTTAACAGTAATTTAGTCTGCTGCGCCACCAAGGCTCTTGGTTGGGATGCTTTCTTGATGTCTGAGATAGTTGGGTCTAGATAGGGATTTAGGTTCTATGTTATTAAGACAGAATGCCTGTGAATTCAAAAGGCAGTTCGGTCTAGTGGTTATGGTAGCAGGCATGAAGAACCATCTGAGTGACCTTTGGTCATTCACTCTCTCTCGGCCCAATTTACCTTACCCTAACGCTAACCCTCACAATGTTGTTATTGTTGTGGGGAAAATAGGACGAGAAAGGAGTATTTCTACATTGAGATATTTATAAAAATAATAAAGGTGGGATAAAATACCTTTTTAAAAAGCCTTATGATTCCACAGAAATTACATCTTTAATTCTGGATGGATTGAACTACTTCAATCCATCCAATTGAAGTAGTTGAGCAGCCTATAAGCTCATTAAATAATTATATAATTTTTAAAATTCCTGTCTCAAAGTTGTATGACACATTCTAAATATGCTGTGCTAGGGTGACTTTCCAGTCTTGAATACAATAGGGAATAAATAATAAATGCATTTATTCATTTTCATCCACATATTGCACAAATCAATGAAACCTTTTTCCAGTTTCAAATGTACAAAAATCAGCAATTTAATACATCAATTATTCAATAAAAAGAATAGTTAATAAAAGCAGTATACTATACTATTAAGAATCACTTATGCAAAGAAAAAAATGCTGAATATGTTTGAGCCTGATAGCAAAAAGACAGTTCAAGGTTAAGTTAGTCTTCTCATAGGACAATATGCCATAACAAAGTTGTCATGATCAAAGTAACTAAATATAAGCACTGTCTTAACTTAAATTGCTATCTTATTCTTCCTTATCATTTTGCGGGAACAATTCCCATTGAACTCAGGCTTAGTTGTGAGTAGGTAAGCATAAGACTGCTCTGTTGTATCAATGTATATAGCTTGATATCAGAAATTATGCTTTACAATGTCTGTGAATACATAGAAAAGAACCTTATAACTGAGGGAAACCATCACTGAGAAAGTTTATTGACCATAAGGTTAATTTAAAACAAGAATGTAAATTTAACAAATTATATATTACAACATTCCTAAACTTTTATACCTCTCTCTCTTTATTTCTGGTTGCCTAGATCAAACTTTAGATTATTCCAACATTGTATCTGAATCATTTTTTGCCCTGATGAAGCCTTTCAAAAAACTTCAAAGACGCCCATATACTGTGATGGAAGAAACTACCATTAACCTTCCTAGGGACTTCCCTTACAGGTAAATCGATAAATTATTTTTAAAATGTCAATTTTTTTTATTAAATGAATTCCTTTTAGTATAGTTTAAAATACCTTGGTCTAGTTCATATTAAGATTTCATCCATCTGAAAGTAGAGTAAATGCAGTTATTCCATGTATAGTGCAGCACTCAACTTTTGAATTTTATTCTGCCTTTTCATCCTTTCCTTTTGGGGTAAATTTGCCTTTGAGTAAATTTCCAGCATTGAGGGGATTTCTATCCTACTTTAACATCTGCAGTGGATACTGTATCATTTCCTGTCCAGCTAGATAACAGAAATCCTTCTGGAAATCACCAAGATGAGGAGAAAAAGAGTTGTTTGAAAAGGAATTACTTTAATAAACTTCTCTTATAGTGAAACTCAGGGTTTTGGGGGGTAGGGGTTATAAATAATTTTTCTCTGTATTATTTTGTTAATATCTTCTTGTACCCTTGGCTTTAGTAAAGATGAGCACACTTCAACCATATTTTTATTATTGATTCCTGTTTATGCTATTTTCTGTAATACTGCACTGCTGGAATACTTACCTCATTTTTAAAATGTTTTTCTTTGGGGAAGCTGGAAAAGAATCAAGAACCATCCTCACTGTGTGAAGTTTTAAAATCCTTAAAGTTCTGAAGCCTGCCAAATAGGTTATTCTATGTCCGTATATATACTAACCCAGGTTTAAAGAAACAGATGACAACAGACTTACTTCCTATTGCAGGCAGACACATTCTCTCTGGTAATATGATTGTTCCTGAGAGCAGAAATCTCTCCTGAGACTTAGCGAAGTAGGCTTTACAATTCTAGCTCATTTTTAACAAGGAAAAACATTGTAAAGATAGACAAAGCCCAGCACTTAGTTAATTGCATCTTAGCATGTAGAGAAACCCAAGATACGTGCTCTGTGTAAGTGTGCCTAGGAAGAAAAACAAAAGGAAATGACCTGAAATTAGCAAAAAGCAGGCAGAGAGACAAAGAGGGACCCAGAATAAATCTCTGTTGCTATCCCATTGTACTTTGTGCTCAGTAGCTTTCAAGATACCAAAAGATCAGTGCCACTGGATTAGCACTTTCACTTTAACCAAGTTTTGGGGGTTTTGAAAAATGTGGAAGAAGTTTTTAAATACATGATAATTGTAAAAGGAAAGGTATGGCTCTCTATCAGGGGTGAAATCCAGCAGGTTCTGACAGGTTCTGGAGAACCGGTAGTGGAAATTTTGAGTAGTTCGGAGAACCGGCAAATACCACCTCTGGCTAGCCCCCGAGTGAGGTGGGAATGGAGATTTTGCAATATCCTTCCCCCTGGAGTGGGGTGGGAATGGAGATTTTGCAATATCCTTTCCCTGCCACGCCCACCAAGCCACACCACACCATGCCCACCAAGCCACGCCCACAGAACCGGTAGTAAAAAAAATTTGGATTTCACCACTGTTCTCTATGGTATCTGTCTCTCTAATAAATTAGAAACAATGTATGGCAATTAGTAAGCTTTCTTTGGAATGTCTGAGAATATCCTACAGAAGACAAACTGCATGTTGAAAACCTCATCCTAATCATGTCTCTTTGGAAGTATGTCCCTATGGAAGTGGACACAGGAATGCAAAATATTCAGACACGAGGATTGTATTAAATTGATACGCATTTTTGTCCTTAAATAATATATATTTAATTCAGTGTAATCTGTTATATTTATAGGCTGGCCTGGGGGACACCAACCACTCAAGATCTGAACATAAAACTCTATCATCCTAAACTGAAATTGAGAAAAGAACACGGAACAAGCAGAGTGGTTCAAGAAAAAGCTTTGCAACCAACCAGATCAATTCCAGACAAAGGGTATATTTGACAGATAACAGTTGCTATGATGCCAACACTCCTTTGTTAGCGATAGTGTTAATTGTGTCAGCATTGCATTTTCATGTGAAGACAAAGAGAGCAAAATTTTCAGTGTGGTCTTTCAATGCACTTTCAAGGTTTCTGTTGTGACCCAGGCCCAAGTAAGTAGTAGGAAAATCAGTCAGTGAAAAAACAAACAAACTTTATTCAAACAGCTGAGAATTACTTCATTCCCAGCGTCGTTCAACTAAATTAAAGCAAATTCCTCCCAACACAAATTCCTCAGTCCTATCGCAAACCTTGGTCCAATTAGGCAAACTGCCAAAGGCCTTTCTTGGCAAATGTTCAGAAGTCACAGATACAAAAATAAATACAAGACATAGACTAAGAAGAAGATGAAGCTACCAACGTTGTTTTCCGGCAAAGTCCAAACGCCATTGCTGGTCTGTTTTAAGCCTTATGGGAGGGGCCAATCATCTCTTGGCCCTACTCCCGAGTTGTCCTCTTTGCTTGAGCTGCTCTTGCCTTCTGGCAGCTCTTCTCATGCGTGCATTAGAAACAGGCTCCTCCTGTTCCTCTGCCTCATTCCTGTCAGGAGTCCGCACCTCACTCCCCGATGGCCCTGGCCCCATCTCTGCCTCTGACGCAGAGCCCTCATCCGGGCCTTCCCCAGCCTCCAGGACTGGCCCATGTTCTTCCTCAGCCTCATCACTGTCTGACTCCGCTGCCAGCTCCGCAGACTGCTGGCGGACCACAACAGTTTCATAGATTTTTAAGTAAAAGGTGAAAGATTCTAAAATCTTCCAATTTTAGAAGAATGCTGTTTTAAGATTGCTACTAAAATCTGAACATTTTAAGATGAACTGAGCAGATAGATATCATCCATGTTTATTACATTTTCCCACAGTAGTCAGGTTTTTTTTTTTTTTGATACAGCCAAAAGGGCAGAGTTGGTTCTCTATAATGGTAGACTTCTTGCCTTGATAAAAATGGCAGATTTGGTGCTAGTTTCACAGAGCCAGCAAATAACAGGATCTTTGGGCAGTCTTTTGATTTCATAGATGCATCTATGGCTCCAGAGTAAAAAATAAAATAAAAATTAATCATAATAAATGTTATCCTGCATAATATGCAAGGTTTACCACTGGAATAATGTGATATATTACCATGGTTGTGCAGAATTTTCAGAGCTGCTATTGCTAATGTAATAAAGAGATAAACATTTTAAAAAATCTCCATATTCACTAGTTTAGCAGATTTACTGTTTCTTCTATTGGAAAATTGAGTGGGAACAGTAAAAAATATGAAAATCAATAGAAGGAAAAACAAGCATTGAACTGGAATTGAATTGGCAAGTGTATCCTTGCGCAATAAATATGCTGTAAATTCCAAACGTCTATCCTTTTAAAAAAGTTATTTCTGAGAGGATGCCAAAATAGTGATTTTTAAAGAAAATAAAGACCATGCATTATGGTCCATGGGCAGTCTGAAATCAGAATGCAAAGACCTCTTGTTGGTTTTGTTCCTGAAGAACAGACTGTCAGCAGTAAAACAATGAGGCACGTCATTGGGCCCTGGTTTTTACTTCTACTACTTCTATAATTCTAAGTGAGCATAAATCAACATGAAATTATGAGTGACACATGAAAATGAACAGCAACATTTATCTAAGGAGCTAAAGAAGAAGCACAAGTTTTGTTGTCTTACACTTACACAAAGGCCGATCTCAAAATTTCCAATTGGTGAAGAAGTAAACCCAACAATTTTAATTTTTTTTTTTACATCCAGCTATTCTACCATTCCGTTTCCTTGAACGTAGCAAAAAATTGTTATACGGTCTATAAAACGTGAAACACTTGATCATCCTTTTGATGTTTGTAATTTTACTTGAAACATAAACTGTTTACTTTGTTTATGGAGATTCTCAGTCATCCAGGTCATGGTTGTCCCAACGGTGCTTTTTTTTCAAGAGGCAACTGGACTTTCCAGTTTTTCTTTGAAGACGTTTTGCTTCTCATCCAAGAAGCTTCTTCAGCTCTGTTTACTTTGTTAACTTTTGAAGTTCTAGTCAGTTCACCATAGTTAAGAACTATTTTTTCCTTGATTAAGGCCACATTTGGCCATGAATCCATGGTGGGGGCTTCATTCTAAAAAAAATTATTGAATGTTTAATTAATATTTCAATACAGTTAATATGGTCACTGACTAATTTCTTTCTTCCATTCTTCAGGAGATACATCTTAGTGAACGACCCAAATTCATCACCTTCCATTCCGTCTATGAGTTCACTGGAAAGCAGGTTGCTCAGTGCTCGTTTCCCTGGACAGAAAGAAAAGATTCTTCGTTCTCTCTTCTGAGATATGCGGGAAGCCAAGTAGTCTCGTCCATTTCTTTCACCAGCTTCGTTGTAGTGAATGAGCCATTTTCAACATCTTTACTTCTTGCATACCTTCACTAGATAGTAATGCATATGTAAAAGCACATTCTTCCTCCATTCCCCCACCCCACCCCAAACCAATGTAATAGTGCATTCTCCCTTTATAGTATTTGAACAAATTAACCTGGTTTAATTAGCCATGCAATAACACCAGCATCTGAGTCTCCACATTTCATTGTGTAGCATGAATTATTTTTATGATGTACTTTTTGCAGCTTCTAATCTATTCTTATATGAATATTTTGTCAATGAAGTGGTTTTTGAAGGAGTAACAGCAGAGCAAAATATCCCCCCCCCAATATGGTATGTACTTCACTTTCTTGTACCTGCAAAGACAAGGTTAACTCTCTGTGCTGTTTCTGTAGCCACATCAACATGTTTTTTGGTAAACTGGTGATCTGTTCATTCATGGTCCAATCCTTCTTGAGGATTAATTAGTAGCTATGTTAACTAGTTCTAGTTTTTAGTTACTACTAAGTGAGATGTAGGGCTAGGATTAGGTTTAGTGAATCCTGAAAGGGGAGTCACTTTTAAATTGAGACAGCTCGCAAACTGCGGAAGCCTGCATATACAGATTTCTTACCCTCTTATCAATGCATTGGAACCTATTCCTTAAACTGTCTAGTTTTACTTTAATTCAAGAGATGTGAGTTGGTAGCAAACCTTAAATAAGACCATACTCGTAAGATCTTTAATTAAAATACCTGGTATAAAAGCAAAGATAATGTAATTTTGCTAAACCAATAAATAATTAATTTAAAACTACTCTTTGGCCAATATTTCCCTTTTCCTTGTGTAAGATTTTGTCTTTTAGTTGCCTTCTAAACTCCAGTTTTCAGAGTTCTTCTAGTATAATCAATAAATGTGGTCTCTTCATATCTTGGATTGTGCCTTTGAGCTACTTTTTACAACACTTGGCACCCTCTTTGAAAGCAGCAATGTTTCGAGGCTGGAAATACATAACATTAGTATAAGCCGCAATATAAGCTCAATCATTTTAAAATCAAATACTCTACTCATTTCAACAAGCCAGAATAAAATACACACAAACATGAACTAACCTAAGACAATTTTCACTTCAGTATAAGGCAGCTGCTTCCTTGGGCTTGAACAGAATGACCAGATATCCATTGACTCTGAAAGATGGGAGGAGAACTCTAAAATTTAAACTCTGGGTCATCAATCTATATGCGCTCTTTGATTTTTATATAGACAGATCTTCTATGTGAATATGAGTTTATTTTTTATCCGCAGTAATAATGATTAAAAAGCATCTAACCGAGCTAGAAATTTGCTGCAGAAAAACAAATCTTTGGATAAAGTCATGGGCAAACAATGTTCCAATCTCCAACCTATCTTTTTAGGGAAGGTGGTAGAGAAAGTGGTTGGACTTCAGCTCCAGAGGATTGTGGAGAAGGCAGATGATTTGGACTCATTTCAGTTGGGTTTCAAGCTGGGATTCAATATGAAGAAAGCATTAACTATGTCCTCGATGACTTGTGGTAAAGCTGAGAAGGTTGTGGTACATCTCTCCTTGTATTCCCTAATGTCTCAGCTGCTTTTGTTGCCATAAACCATGGTATTCTTTCAGATCAATTTTAGGGTTAGGGGTTGGGGATAGGAAGCATTGTTTTAGGATGGTTCTCCTCTTTTCTCTGTGGCTGGTTTCAGTTGGGGTTGACAGGAGGGGAGTGTTTGCACCCATGATCCCTCACTTGCGGGGTGCTGCAAGGTTCAACATTCTCTCCCTTTCTGTTTTAATATCAACATTAAACCACTGTGTGAAGTGGCTTCCACTAGTTTGGGTTCAGAATATCGTGATGTTAATAGTGGTGGGTTTCAGTTGGTTCGGGCAAACTGGTAGTTAAATTGCTGGCTGGCCCCACCCCACCCCTTCCAGGAGTTCCCACGCGCTCCATTTTGGCTACCAGGTAAGTGCAGGGAGGCCCCAATGGTATTCAATCCATTTAGTTTTGGTTTGTTTGAGCAGTCAAAATTCCTTCACAAACCAATAGCCATAGCTAAGTGTACAGCAAGCAGAAAAGCAATTTCCCATCACCCTTTGAACCCAATGCTTGGTGGAGCAAGAAATAAAGGAGGCAAGCTAGAAGGTTAGTGGTTTCCTCAAGTCATGGTTGAAGATTATCTTAGAGGAGAAAGGAGAAATATGTCGAGTGGGATTGAGAGCAGAACAAACCCATTTCTCTGCATAAGGGTCTGCAATGGAGCTATGAGTTATGAAAGATTTTGGCATTCTTGTGCCAGAACTGCTTTGTGTTTTTGCTATAACCTCTCAAAGCTTTAACTGTAGGAAATTAGGCATTTTTCATATGTAATTTCAAAAATTTAAATGCTGGCAGAAGCTTTTCCTACTTTTTTCCAATCTTGCAAACCTTTAGGACTTTCCCCATTTATCTCTAACCTATTTGCCTATTTTCTCCAATATAGAGTTGGTCAGCAGTGGGAATAGAAGTTAATGTCCTTGGGGTTACTCTACACAGTCTTGCCTGCCATCATTTTGTGTATTACAGTTCTGAAACTGATGGAAAATTCGGTATGCACTGGGCTGGAACACTCACAAAATTAAAAAAAGTTGTCTGTGAGCATTTGCATAGATTCACTTTATGAACCCATTTATATCCCATTCCATTCTTCAAATATTCCCCTTTAAAAGAAATGTGTAAAAGTAAAATCTTTAACGTGTTTTTGTCTGCATCAAGGAGGGGATGACACCAAGCTTTGCTGCCTTCTTTGCAGCAAAATACAAGGCTGCTTCAAGCAGGTGAACGTATCTCTCATTGAGAAGATTTCTGCAATCTGTGATTATTTGTCATCCCTGCAATGGCTGTGCTCTGCAGATTCAAGGAGCAACCATTGCTAGTTGAAAGTGAAGTAGCAAACAGTCTGTACAAGGCAGACATCTCTCTTGGAAATGTGCAACATTATAAGTCCAAACTTCCAGACTGCATCAAATTCTTTCAATGGATATTTGATGTTGGATTTTTGTCCAATTAATGGCATGTAGTAATTACTGTACCAAAAAATCCCCCAAATTCAGGACTTCTGTTGTATTGCTAACCTAGAACAAGACAACATGCATAGCCTTCATCTCAAGCTATTGTTAGTTTAAACAATATCCTTAATGTTGCTTGCCGGTAGGTTTCCACTTTCAACCTCATTCACAGGATTAGCTAAAAGAAAAGGTCTGTTTTTATTTATTTTTAAAGCAAAAGATGCTTCTGTTACTAGAGTTGTTTAGGCTGAGAAACACTACTCTAGAGCAGTGATGGGCTGCAACCGGTTTAACAACTGGTTCGGTAAGCGCACGCTTCATGCACCCATATTCACTTTATGTGCATGCGCACCTAGAGCACTTGCGGCAGTGCTAAAATTGGAGGTTTTTAAAACTCAGCTGCTTACCTTCTAAGTCAGCCCTTGTAAGTAGAACAGCTAAGGTACGGAAATTAGCTGTAATGCGTGATTCAGATAAGCTAGAAACAAAGAAATAAAGGACAGAATAGGGCAGGGACAATTGGGCAGGGCCAGCTGGTCATCGGAACTACCAGTTCGCCTGAACTGATCTGAACCGGCTGAATCCCACTCCTGCTCTAGAGTGATTTAGGCTATTTCAATAGTAATTGAAACGGGCCATAATAGCTCTGCCTTGGTGCAAGCTTATTTTCTGCATTGTATCTGCTAAAAGACCTGCTAAAATTTTTAATGGTGGAGATGTAGAGAATGGCAGTGAGAATGACGGGAGGTGGTGGTTGTGGTAAATACAGTATTAGGAGAAGCAACTTGGGAAACTTAGTAATTTCAGCAGGGACAAAAAACAACTGCCAGAAGTATTATAGCACTTGCAAAGTATCTGGAGAAGTGTCTTACAGGAGAAAGTCAAGACATATTCTGTATTATCCCTGATTGATGTTTTTCTGGTCTTGGAATAACTGTCTAGAGTTATAGGAAAGCAGATTCCAGTTGAATGTTAAGAGTACTGTCTTATAGGTAAAAGCAATTTGGGAATGAAATCACTACCATAAAGGTAGTTGGCTTCTTTTCACTAAAAAGATTCAACGTTCAGGCCTACTGTGAAAGTTCTGATTTGGATCCTTACAATAAGCAAAAGATTGAACTGAGTTATCCAAACCATGCCTTTCCACACCACATTTTTAAGAGTTCTTTGGGAATGATTTGAAACTCATTTTCCCCAAAGAAAATATTTGATGCTACACACAGGTAATCCTCGACTTGCGACCATTTGTTTAGTGTCTGTTCAAAGCAGGGGTGAAATCTACTTACCTTCCCAACCGGTTCGGAAGTGCGTGCATGTGTGCGTCATATGCGCACTTGGACCCTCTGCGCATGCGCAGAACCCTTCTGTGCATGTGCAGAGGGTAAAAAACTGGTTACTTCTTGATTAAAACCAGGAAGTAATGATGACAGGGAGGGTGGGCAGAGCCTTGTGCCGCCATCGCTACCAGTTCTCTGAACCACCGGCCGCCATCGTTACCGGTTCGGCTGAACCGGTTTGAACCGGGAGCATTTCACCCCTGGTTCAAAGTTATAACTTTGAATTTTGACCATCTTTCACATTTACGACCATGGCAGCATCCCATGATCACAGGATCAAAATTCACACACCTGGCAACTGGCAAATATTTATGACGGTTGCAGTGTCCCAGGATCATGAGATCACCTTTTGCAACCTTTTGACAAGCAAAATCAATGGGGAAACCAGATTCACTTCACTTAACCATGTTACTAACTTAACAACTATAGTGATTCACTTAACAAGTGGCAACAAAGTCATCAAATGGGGGCAAAACTCACTTAAAAACTGTCTCGCTTAGCAATTGGACTAAATTGTGGTCGTGAGTTGAGGTCTATCTTAGTAATTACTTTACCCAGTTTATGTTATTAATATCCTGTTTTGCATTTTTTTAAATACACAAATAATTTGACAAACAGATGCTTCTGTTTAAAACGAGGATTAATTCCCTGAAATCTTTTAATCAGAGTCACATATAAAGGGAAATTGTTAGCACAATCAAACATTTTTATACTCAGAAGCAATGAAGAGTGATCAGATAGATACAAGGGTGTCAAACTGACAGCCCGCGGGCCAAAGATGTTACACGCAGGCCACGCCCACCCCAGCTCTACCAAGAAAAAATGTCACGCTACATCATGTGATGGCAATGTGACATGGTGAGTTTAAGATCTATCTCCTGTGAGATAGAACAAGCACTGATATTTAAAACCTTACCATATTTTACAAGTGCACAAAACCTCAGAGATAGGGAGAAGCATGGCTGACTTTGAGAAAATAGTTTTAGCTTCTCTGTTGAACCGACATGGTATATTAAGCACCCAGAGAAAGTAAAAGAGGAGAAAGAGGAAATTGCATTTACCATACATGGAAGACAGTGGCAGAAGGAAACAAGGCGATTAAGCTGCTTGTAAAAAGGGTGAAAGTTAGAGAGGAAATCAATAAAATCAGGTTAGAATTCAGAGAAAGGAGAAGTCACAGGGGAAACTTCTTTGTTCACTGATAATTGAATCAATGTGCTGCATCAAGTCTTCTACAGCAGGGATTGGCAAATTCCCAGTAATGTGGTTAATAGGATCAGCATGTGTATCTCCTTTAACTCAGTAAGCAATGGAAGAAGAAGAAAAAACATTTACAGAGCCTTTGAACCCAGCTCATCATCTCCTTTCCCTAGCTATTTTTCCCTTATTTTTTTCATTTTTTAAATTTTTATTACTGCCTGATTGCATTTTATTAAAATATTTGCTTTTTTGTTTTGCTTGTTTATTTGTTTTAATCTTTGATTTAATGGGTAAATATTTTTAGTTATCCTTGTAACCTAGAATGAAATGGGTATTAAATCCAAGATTTAAATCCACCAAAATACACAAATTTTGGTGCATTTAAATCTTGGGTTTAAATTAAATGGGTTTTCAAGGGCTTTGGGGTTTCAACAATAACATTCGCATCGTTGAATGAAAATGAAGAGAGAATTTGCTTGATAGCACAGGAAGAAGAGAAGAATGTAAACGGGATTACCATGAGTGCATTTACTTCAGAAAAATGCTTTGAGAGCTGACTGTCAGGAAAAGAAAATAATGCTAAAGTAAAGCCATTGAAATAAAAGGGTCAAGGTTTTTCTTTTTTTTTCCTTTTCAAATGTCTTAACAAATAAAGCTTTTGAGGGCTACTGAAGCCATAGCTTTTCATTCAAATCAAGGAATTCTGTTTCTCGGGTTTATGAAGTCTGCATGGATTTTCTCAATTTAGGAATCAAAACTTAAAAATATACTGTGCATGTCTGTGCATGCACAAAAACATCTTAGGATGTTATTCATGTTCTACAATATGCATCTGTAAAGCCTCACCATTTCACACAGACAAAAACTTCTATTTGTATTCCTTTTGCGAAATTGAAAGTTTAGTGTAGAAGATTTAGGATGGGCAACTTTAAGACCTGTAAACCAGAGATGGGCGTCACATACTGTAGCAACCGGTTCACCAAGCACCGGAAATGTGCAAATGCGTCTCTGTGCATACATAACACGGCAATTCACTTGTGCATGCCATCCGCATACGTGTCGCATCAAAAACACAGTGGTATAGAACGGGATTGGGCCCAGGTAGGTGGGTGACCCACCCGCAGGTCGCCACTACTGGTTCGACCAAACTGGTCCAAACCGGCTGAATACCACCTCTGCTGTAGATTTCAACTCCCAACACCCAACTTCATGCTGGGTGGGGTAATCTGGGAGTTGAAGTCCACAAGTCTTAAAGACACCAAGGTTGAAACCTCCTCACTCCCACCCCAGTTTAGAATATTGTTTCAACTCTCCTTCCTAGTAGCCTTTTCAGTACTGTGGTCCCATCAGATGAAAGAGTATCGTAGAGACTTTCATCTCTGTTCATATCTACTCTGTTTCCAATTTAAACTGAAATGTGATTGGGGAAATGGAATTATAAAAACAAGTTTAAACAGATACCTTCCCTGAACTTCATTGCAAATTCAAGCCTCCAAAAAATGAGTATAAAGCAAGACACCTTGAAAAAGCAAGAGAAAATGTAGAAAGGTTATTTCTTTGTATGCAGCAGAGGTTTACATTGTTCAAATAGCACTTAGACTTATATACCACTCCACAGTGCTTTACATCATTCTCTGAGCAGTTTACAAAGTCAGTATATTGCCTCGAACAATCTGGGTCCTCATTTTACCCACCTCAGAAAGATGGAAGGCTGAGTCAACCTTGAGCTAGTCAACTTTGTAAGAATGTTCTTAGCAAATTCAAATAGTCTTTTTAACACAATTAGCTTCCTATTTCTCTTTTCCCCTACCAATAAAAGTCACTATCATGATGAATGGCTTGTTAGCAAATTCTTAGCACCTATTAGTGATTACTGCACTGCATTAGCTGTGCAGTGCACTGCATCTGAATTAGCAGGACATACAGAGAAGCATGTTGGCTTGCAATTAGTTTCTACAGTAGAGATCCTAGGATTTGTCTTGTAGTATTGTCCTTACCTTCAGTAGGGTTGGTTCTTGTTCTTTTTGTGCTCATGAGTGAGTTTTGGCCACTTATTTGGGTTTCTTGGATGAATTCTACATGAAATATCTTTACAAATATTCATGTAACAGAGTTAATAAAGGTTTGTAGAACCTGCCTATGCAAGTATATCTGCTGTCAGACAAAAACCTTTTGAACTGGGATTTTATCACTAGTAACAGATAAAAAGCCGCAGGAATTAATTGTGTGTAGGGTGGGAATTAAGACTGTATATCAGAGTATGTTTCTGCCTGCTTTATTAACAGGAAGTGAGAGGTGTATGTTTGAAGAATTGTAAAAGCAAGGTGACTGCACTGAGAATGGGATACATACCGGTATATTTAAAAATTAAAGATATTCTCAAACTGAAGTTGACTCCTCATCTGCAATCTTGACATTCCTCAGAGAACTCTAATCAAAGTGTTACAAAGGCCCAATCATGTTTTGCTTCCAAACCCAGCCTAAGGTCTGACATTCTGAGATATTCTCTTAGTAACTACATGGGCTCATCCATCTTGGTTTGTTTTTTTTATTTTTACAATACTCCAAGTTGCTTTGTCTCTTGCCTTTCCCAGAATTTTCATTTCCCCAGTTTTGCCTCTAGCCCTAGGATTTCCCAGTGGTTTCCCAAGGCTTAGCCAAGGCTTGATAAGTACTGCCCTCTGCTGCAAATAGTAGTTCTAAACCTTAGAATTATTTAAAAGAGAAAGGGGAAAAAATCAAAACACCTTCCAGGGACAGTCTATAGAGTTTATGGCATTTAAATTATCTCAGATTCAACCCTAAGGATCTCTACATAGGAGTTGGGAAGACTCTGATATTTTCTAAAAATCTGGGGACCACCCACCCAACAAGGTTGAGAATAGTAAGTCTCAAGGGCCATCAGGCTTAACTCCATAGGCAGCAGAGCCTTACACCGTGTTACTTTGTAACAGAAAAGGCACTTTGGGGACAGACAGTATAGAATAGAATAGAATTTTTGATTGGCCAATTATTATGTGATTGGATACACAAGGAATTTATCTTGGTGCATACGCTCTCAGTGTACATAAAAGCGCTCTCACTGTACATAAAAGAAAAGATACGTCGAGAATCATAAGGTACAACACTTAATGAGTCATAGGGAACAAATAAGCAATCAGGAAACAATATCAATATAAATCGTAAGGATGCAAGCAACAAAATTACAGTCATACAGTGATAAGCGGAAGGAGATGGGTTGGTGGAACGATGAGAAGATTAATAGTAGTGCAGACTTAGTAAATAGTTTGACAGTGTTGAGGGAATTATTTGTTTAGCGGAGTTTAGCAGACAGGATAGTCCATGGATTGAGCTGCCAAGGGCTAAGAGAAATTACATCTCTCAAATACTGAGCCAGGAAACTCCAAGCATTGGGAAGACAGCGAGGCAATTCTTTCCTATAGGGGATAAGGTTATTCTCCCAAACTAATTACCAGACGCGTAGCTTATTCAGTTGCCTTTAAAAGAAACTCTTTGCATGCTCAGGAACGGTCTAGCCTTCCTTCCTTTATCCCGGAGTCTGGATTCCTGCATTAAAAAAGAATTTTTAAAAAAGTCGGAGCCGGGTTTCCAAACCCACAACCTGAAAAAACAAACGGTATTACAAGCCCGGTGTGACTTTGCCTGCGTATTGTGACTCCCCTCTTCAGTCGGACTGATCCACGGGACAGGAAGACGGAGGGGGGGCCCGCCTTTCCGCTTTCCCCACCGGTCGCGTGTCCTAAACTTTTTCTTCGCTTTTCCCCGCTCAAAGATATCAGGCACACACACACACACAAAATACACACCGAAAGGAAGAGCCTTACCAAGGAAAGCATCTCCTTCTCCTCTCGCTCTTTCGAGCCTCACTCCCCGGCCCGCTTACTTAGTACGGCCCTATCCGGTGAAGAGGTTTTCCCCCTCTTGGCCGGGGGGAGCTTTTGGGCTCGCGAGCCAAGAGGAGGTTGGAAGCGGCTGAGCCTGGGCTGCCAGCCGCTGGGAGCGGAGCCGGACAAGCCTGGCCATGAGGAGCTGGCGTCGCTCCTCGCGATTTCCCCGAACTTCTTCCAAGCTCTGATCCCGTGGGGGGTGGGATGCGGCGCAGGGACGAAGATGAGAAAAAGCAGGGTGTACCGCATGGTTTTGGCCACTTGCTTGGGCTCTTTGCTCCTGGTCATCTTCTACTTCCAGAGCAGCCTGAACCCGGGTGAGTTAAACATTTACCCCGCAGTCCCGTCCCGTCCACCTTTTTTTTTTCCGCCTCGGCGCCGTAAGCAAAGGAATGTTCTTTCAGGAGGGGAGGCGGGTGGTGGGGGGGCAGCGCTCTCTCTCTCTCTCTTTTCCCACCCAGCCCCCAAATTGAAACAATGAAGAGACTCGTGGCACTAGTAGCCTCTTTATTCTCGCGTTTTATTCCTGGCGTTAAATTCTTCCCCAGAGAGACCCAACAACACACCTAGGTTATAAGGTAGCCTCGGGAGACCCGCTTCGTGGCTTTCGCTGCAAAAGGCTTCGCGTCAGATCATTCTCCATCCCCCCACACACACCTTCTTCCCCCTCCCCGCACCCCGGCGAAGCTGTCCCGGACTGGAATGGGACAACAACTCGCCACAGAACAACTTTCGCCACAGGACAAACTCACCCCAGCCAACTTTGCTGTGGGACAATTTTAACAATTCAGTTTAATTATTTAAAATAAATCCATTTTTTTTTTTTAAAATTGCCATTCACTTTTCATTCTGTCCTTCCTTTTGCATCCTTTCTTTAATGATTCTATTCCACCATTTCTTTGATATTGGTATAAGTCTTGTCCCGACCTGTGGCAAATTGTTTACAGATCCCTGCCGGAGAGGTTTTTCTTACCTCCTTTTGGTTAATCGTGACTCAGATGCAGACAAAGCAGGTTTCCCATTCCTAAGGCGGCAGAGCGTAACACGCTTTTATTGCGGTTAATTAATGACTTTATTAGGGACTTTGTTTGTGATGGTTATCTTTGAAAGTATCGTTGACAGATAGAAAAAAAATAACATAATATTGATACAGGCTACCGTCCGTAGCTTTTACAGGTAGTCCTCGACTTACAACAGTTCGTTTAGTGCCTGTTCAAAGTTACAACCGCACTGTAAAAAGTGACTTATGTTTTTCACACTTAACGACCGTTGCAGCATTCCCATGGTCACAGGGTCAAAACTTGGATGCTTAGGAACTGGTTCATATTGATGACTATTGCTGTGTCCCAAGATCATGGGAGCACTTTCTGCAACCTTCTGACCAGCAAAATCAATGGGGAAGCCAGATTCACTTTACAACTGCGGCAAGAAAAGTCGTAAAATGAGGCAACCCCCCCCCCCCGGTAAGAAATGCCTCACTTAGCACCATGAATTTTGGGCTCAATTGTGGTTGTAAGTCGAGGACTACCTGTACTTGAATGTTAAATGGGTATGATTTCTGAGAATAACTAGGAATGAGAGGGCTTCAGGGCAGAGGGAAAAAATATTGAGAGGTGTCAAGCGGTGAAATACTTTTCAGTCTGCTGGCTGCCATGAAAAGATTTTAGTGGTTTTATTTTCATGCCGAGACATGAACCAGTAGGATTAATTGATTTTCAACAGGTAACTGAGTTAGCATCTGGAGAAGAACTTCTGATACAAAATTGTACTTATGGAGCGTAGAGGTTTCCAGGTGTCTGGGGTTCTTTGGAGAGTACAAGAAGGACAACAATATAGATCATATTAGCATATCATCTTAAAAGCCCAATTAACTTTGTGACTTATTTCAAAGTGGTTTCAAGTTTAGGTTTCTTAATAGTGTACCCATAAAGGACATTGAAAACAATTTGCATAAAATACATTGGAGGCTGATGGGCTTGAAAGATGTGAAGATAAGTCAAGGCTTGATAGTACAGTGGTCTACGCACCCTGTTATTAACACAGCTGCCTGTAATTTCTGCTGGTTCGAATCTCTCCAAGGCTCAAGGTTGACTCAGCCTTCCATCCTTTCTAAGGTAGGTGAAATGAGGACCCAGTTTGTGGGGGCAATAAGCTGACTTTGTATAAAATATACAAAAGTATGAAGGCTATTGCTTAACGCATTGTAAGCCGCCCTGAGTCTCCGGAGAAGGGCGGCATATAAATCAAATTAAAAAAAAAAAAGGCTTCAGTTTAACTGACTTCAGTTAAAGGAGTAAGTGGTGAAATCAGCTGGCCTTTCCTTTAGGTTCATATGCTAACTTTTCTGAAGTAAAACTCAGTTCATCTTAATATTGTGCAAATCAGTTGTGAGGAACATTGGTAAGCAAGTACAAATTTACTGTGATTGATAAGTAAGTAGAGTCATTGAAGTGACTCCAGGAGAACTCCTAAGATAACAAATTTTAGCTACGTTCACTCGACTGGTGGTTGCACATTTTAACAGTGGAGTGTGACATATAGAATGTGCTTGCTGCAACTGAGATGTGTTTAAAAACTTACTTCAGCATAAGTGGCCCAGAGTATCTGTAGTGGAGATAGAATTAGAATAGAAATCCAGCTATTCCTATATAGGCCTTAATTTCTTGGATTCTAAGCATTTTTAATGCCTGTCCTAAGAGTATGGTACTCCTCTTCTTACAGATCTTACAGTTTTTAGCAACCTACATCCATTTATAATGTAGTTCTTAATATCACTGTGGCACCAAATTTAATTAGTAGGAGGGAGGAATATGTTCACCGCCTTAGATTATTTATAAAAATAATAAAGACGAGATACAAATAAAATAAAATAAAATCTTGGAGGCAAAGCAGTACAGATGGGAAGGAACTGAAATGCATAGAAGTATCCACGTGCCAGACAGATATCCTTCTTGATCACGTGTGACCATGCTGTCTTCAGCTGCTCTGGACTCATAGGTAATAACAGCCGTGGTTTGCTGTGGCAGTAGGGATACTAAAGAAAAGATTCCCTGGAAAGAAAGCCCAATTAGAAGCTCTCAAGTAGGAAAGCAGTTCCAGTTTTCTTCCTCTAGTCTGTTCCCTTGATCCTAGTTTACCTCTTCATCAACATTCCCGTGAATCACCTAAGTGAGACTGGCTGTGCACAAACTCAACTGAAAAAGTTTCCCAGAAGTTTACCTAAGTGGAGCTCGGAATATGCTGACAGAAGCTTCTTTCACAGATGCTTGGCTTTAACTGGATGGGGCTTGTGACACAAATAGAAAAAGTTGGAACTCACTCATATATTTATTTTCTGGACTCTATCCCTTCCTTCCTATTTTATATACTGAGAGAGATCCGCTGCATAGAGAAATGCATTTTTCAATATGACTTAATAATACTCAACTTTGTATTTGTTCCATTAATTTTACTGGAACTTAAGCACAGGTGCCACATTCCCTATACATGCCTGTTTGGGAATTCCATTCAGTTTGTTGGTGATTATTCTCCATTATGTTTAGGATGGTAGGAAGTATGAATTTCCTCTGAAGACCAAAGCCCATATAACTAAAAAAAAGAGATTGAATGAGCAACTCTTCTTTATATAGCGATTCAAAAGAAAGTCAGTATAGTTTATTTTCATCTTAAAAATACATGAAACTATATAGCTTTGGTATTACAACGTTCTTGATTCCCATGGTATTTTTCATTATTTTACGGCATCTAAAACTTTGAATTAGCAATTTTATTTGCCTTCGGAAAGTTAGTTTATTTAAGGAAAAATCATGACAAAACCTTTGGATGAAGACATGAATGAATTTCCGTTGATTTAATTGATTCTTTTCTAAAGCAGAAATAACTTGGATCTCGTATAATGGGATCAAGTATTCAGGAGTTCCAAGTATTGGCAAGAGGTTATGAATTGGAAAAAACATTTCTGTATAGCTCTAACAAATTAAAATCTGATTTATTTCTATGCCAGATAACTAGCAGATTGATCTATCTATTAATTCAATTCATCATTTGGCTACTTATTCAAGCGGTGCCAAGCTTAGAGAAGCCATCCTTCCCCCTGACCCCCACCTTCCTTTTGGTTCTTGGAAGTATATTGTTTCTTCATTTTAGAAATGTCCATGTGACTCTTGTGACTCAAGAAAACAACAGTATTTCTCAAGCATATCTTAGCAGTTACCAGGATTGTGCTGATATATGTAATGTTGACCTTTTTTAGCACTGTAAATTGGAAGTAACATGTTTAGTATACTGTGTTAATGAGAAGAATATAATTATTTGGTTGGATGTTATACAATGTGAGCAACGTGTTGTGGGATTGGTATATGTTTAAAAAATACTATTGGTCTGTCTTCGGAAGTTCTGCAGTTTGGAGAAGATTGTATTTTGGAATGATAAAATAACAGATTTGGAAGGAACCGTAAGGTTCATATAGTGCCATGATGGTACACGTGCTGAAAGTGGCACACAGAGCCATCTCTCCGGGCATGCCAGCTACAAACTCACGGGCCGGATGCGTCATGTGCTGGCCCTGGCCCCACCCGGTTTAGCAAAGGGGGGGGGAAAATCCCGATACATCATGTGATGCCGCTGTGACGCTGCGAGTTTGATACCCCTGACCTAGGCTAAGCTTAGGCTAGGCTATGAAATGTTTATGGAAAAACTACAAGCAGATTCCTTGTGGCTAATTCTATCAATTATTTATAGCCATCATGATCTCTTACAGACTTTTCTATGAATACATCTAACTGTTCCTAGTGCCTTCCAAATTGAGGCCATTTTGAAGTGCTGAGTTCTAATTACATTTTGCAATGTTCTTCTATATCTTTTTAAAGTCTCAGTTTCTGTTGAAGGAGTGGTAATTCTAATCCTAATTGAAGTACCCAGGGAAAACTTCCCAATTTTTAATCCCTTTAAAATGAACTCTGAATGAATAAAATGACATGGTTCAAGAGAAACACTCTTTCAATAGTTCTCATTGGATGAATCT